AGTTATGAAAAGGAAAATAGATCGCTTTTCAATTCATTTTTCAAATTTTTTCTTTCTCTGGGAATGATATTGAATTTGCAAAGCTCGTATCATTTTTAGTAATACATTGGGTCCTAAGGTCCTACTTTGAGCTATTTAGCTATGGAACTAGTTAAACTGACTGGAGGTCAAAACAGAACTCTGTTATCTTGGTTCAAAAAATGTTTAAAATCCAGTATAGTTTTGTCACTTCCTGTTTTGTCATTTCCTGTTAAGTACCACGAGACCTTAACCCCCTAAATTTCCTCTTGCGGGGCCACCGCAACACTTCATATCGGATCTGAATGAACCATATCAAAGAATAATTGATAGAGTCAGTGTGGAACGGCAAGAAATGGAGCTTATCAAATGTGCTTGCACTCCCCCTTCATTAATTTATTTCGATTTGTATAACGTATGGAAACTAACTTTAAGAAATGAGAAATGTCATTAGTGTTGTGATAATAACGTCCTTTATACCTATTCGTTACAGGTCGTGTAGACGATTGTTGCCTGATGGTGATGATGCGCCTTTTTAATAGATCTCATATCTTGGAAGCGTATCAGTCCAAAAAAATACGAGAAGACCTAACATAGTTTGCCATCCACTGCGCCTATTCCTTTGGCGATTCAGTTGTAAATTTTCTCTTAAAAAATAAATGTTCCAAATTTGTTGACTTTTCTTGCAGAAATCGCCTACTCCCCCTCCATCCATTTTGTACGATCACTGGGTGTGACTTTTTTGAACGTGAAGAAACATTAATTTTTTCTCAAATAAAGTTTGCAAATTCAATTTTTGCCTGACTTGTATCTTTTGAGAGAACTCATCAAATATATGGACATTCTGTCAAACGACTTGCGACAAACCTATCAGTTCCTATTGGAATGACGTTTTTCAAAACTTGTGTGTATTAAATATTTTCCATTACTTGCATGTATGTGCTCTTAAGATAATTAGGAGACTAAAATAAGCAAAAATGTGAGTCCAAATGAGAGAAAACAAAAATAAGTTTGCCTCCCGGGGTTTTCATGTATGCTTCCTTGAATCAAACACTTTCAAATTGTGTGATTCGATTGTATGAACGTATTTCCAAAATGTAGCCCTTGTGTCCTTTGATTGAAACATTGTTCTCCATTCAATCTTTTTACTCAAGATAAAATTATACATCTCACATATTTCCATTTTTACACAAACCTCAAATATCTTTTTAGGTAATCAAAAAACGATAAATTCCTGAAATACTGCAAAAAACTAACTCAAAATTGGTGAGTTCGAGTTTTATTAGGCGAGATTTTTTTAGGGTGTGGGGTTCGCACGAACCCTCCGAACCCCCTCTCCATACGGCTCAGTTACAAAATGATCAAAGACAAGGGTAAATACTATAAGCTAGATATAGTAGAAGTTAGACTAGGCAAATTTAATGTTTTAAAGGCCCCGTGCAAAGTAAAAATATAGCTTAATTATTCAAATATTACTTTTCGTGACTTGAAAACCCTATTTACGACATTGCTTTGGATACAGGGTGTTAAAAAAAACGCAACCCAAAGAAATCGCGATATCTTGGAAAATACTAATCCAATTATGTTCATATTTTCAGAAAAGAAAGAAGAGACTGTGTATGTATAGCCCCTGTTGTTAGTTAGTTGTAAAACATGATGTCTTGGACACTTCCTCAAAAGACAGTTGTACTAGCAAAATACGAAAAACATGAATGGAAAATAACTATATCTTGGAAAATACTAATTCAATTATGTTTATTTTTTCAGGAAAAGAAAGAAGAGACTGTGTATGTATAGCTCCTGTTGTCAGGAAGTTGTAAAACATGATGCCTTGGACACCTGCTCAAATGACAGTTGTACTAGGAAAATATGAAAACGCAGTCAGAGGTGACTGCCACAGCAATAAAACCAAACAAATAACTTTCTAACCATGGTGTTTTGGCACTTCAGATTTGGCACAAATTATCCTTATTCAATGTGTGGTTGATTTGTGAAGTTTCATCAAAATCACTCCAGGGACTTTATAGTCAGGGTCAAAATGCCTTCTTAAGTCTCCCTGAACCAGGGCGTCTGACTGCGATTTCAAAGCATTTCAACCATGACAGTGAAGTCCCTGAAGTGATTTTAGTTTCACTCTACAGATTTATCATACAGTGAATGAAGATGGTTTGTGCCAAATTTGAAGAGCCAAAACACTATGGTTAGGAAGTTATTTAATTTTTTTGCGATTGCAGTCACCCCTGACTGCGTTTTTCGCATTTTGCTAGTACAAATATTTTTTGAGCAGGTGTCCAAGGCATCATGTTTTACGACTTACCATTGACAGGAGCTATACATACACAGTCTCTTCTTTATTTCCTGAAAATATGAACAGAATTGAACCAGTATTTTTCAACATATAGCAATTTCTTTGGGTTGCGTTTTTTTTGAACACCCTGTACTTAACATTTTGGAAAATAGTTCTTCATCTTATAATTTTCAATTATTTTAATTCCAACCATTTGAGAAACAATTTAGATTTTTACATCAGCAAAAACAACACTCTACACAGTCATGTAAAGTAACTAAGTCAACATTCGAAAATAAAAATCTCAAAAATCGTACATTTTTGATTTCCAAAATAATTTGTGAGGTGGTTATTAAGATGCTAATGCACATTTTAACGTATTTATTTTGAGTACATCTCGAATCCATTCTCAACAAAGCGTTCTCGAAATAAGTATTCGAAATGTTTAAGTTCGGAATGATAAAAGTACGTTAAGATTAGATATACCACTCCCAAACTCCTTTGGGAACAAGATATATAATCAAATACATATTCTTCTTATTTACTCCCTGACACATGCCAATGAATGTTACAAAAGTAAATATCTCCGTTTTAAATAATTTTGTAAACGTTGTTCTCTACAGGTGCCGTTTTTTATAGTTGAAAAACAAAATTGAACATTTTGCAATTCTAAATTGATAAGTTTCTTGGAATACAACTTAACCGTTAACGATTTTAGTCATTAATAATATTTCACTTGGTGATCCCATGCTAAATAGACAGTAACTGGGTCAATGTTTTGTGTTCAACCTTGTTTCCATGACTTTTCCATGACAATATTTAGCCTTTTATAATAATACATATGATGTATGCATCAACGTGTGACTTAAATATCAATTCGTGACTATCATATTTGGCTTTTAAAAATTAAGTTGGAAGTTACAGTGGTTGGAGATTAACGAAAAAGTCAATCACATCCAAATATCCCAACGACGTCAAGTATTAATAATACACTTTTCGTGCATCTCGAACACGGCAAGGTTCTGTGATCCAGCAATGTGCATTCCGAAAGAAAAAATTCAAAAATATCAAGAAATTTCATTGAGTAGGACATTACATTTGAAATCACAACTTTCAAAATATTTGTTTCAACCAAGAATTGTAAGAACTTGAAACATGTTGTTAGTTTTTCAAGCAATTTCGACAATAAAAACCAAAAACCTAAAACCAATTTTGAAAACTGGAGGCCCTAAAAGATTGGTGCCCAATTTAATTTTCTGGGCCCTCCCAAAGGAACATTGTATATGGACTGAATATAGCCTTTTATCATGTTTTTAATAACGTTACATAGTACCATTGGTATCAAAGTCATTCAAAATCATTTTTTGAAGTTTCACACAGGACATATTGATAACATTTTAGAACTATGATGTAAGGCTTTATCTTTATACGGGGCCTTTAAAAGTTACTCTAAGTTTCTAAGGAAAGTCGAAAGATGGTTTGTCATCCTTGGTCCAATGGTATTTCACTTGAACATTATAAACAATAAACAAGAAAGTGAGACGCTTTTTTAGGTACGACAAAAAGTTTGATAGGACAGTAACGTAGCCTTGCCTGCCTCAGCTACCTGGGTCTCTCTCTGAAGTCATAATGGAGCAGAAATGTTTTGTTTTTATAATATAGTCATGGAATAGGACCCATTATAAATAAATAGGACAATTAAAACAACAAAATATTATGCTGAATTATTATACTGCAGGAGTCTTGTACTAATATATTTTCTTTGTATATGTTACATATGCATGTATGTTTATATCATAATGCCATCATACATGTACAATGTACATCAAATATGTATACACATGAATGGAACAGTATAGTATAGTGCTTGTACACATGTATATGCCAACATGTAATCTTGAATTTTAGGTTAATAGGGCCTAGGGGCACACAGGTAATATACAACAGTGTCAAAGCTGCAAAACATTGCATGTTGCTAGGAAGTTTCTAAATAATTATGCCAAAACTGACACAAAAATGAAGCAAAAATTGGCTCAAATTCTTGTAAATTTAAAAATAACGTAAAAACTTGATTAAAACAGATGGTTTTTGTAAAAATGTGTCAAATTTCTCATACTCAGGTGTCATCGAGACACGTGACATTACAGTGACATCACATTGACAGGATATGTCACAATGACATGATATGTCAACTTTCTATTTCAAATATCATTATCTCTTTTTCAAATTCAAATATCATTATTTCACATACTGTTGTATGTTCATAACAGAGTATTAGTTTTTGATGATTATTCCAAATTTTTCGTATTGCTTTAAGCTATTTTACATTCTTCTTCCATATAATATACTCTGAACCTGACATATGAAATAACAGCCAGGTTGGCATTTTATGTCAACTTATATGTCAACATTATTCCTTTTAAACACTGACATATTCAGGTTGGCATTTTAACTCATATGTCAACAATCTTCCTTTTAAACACTGACATATTCAGGTTGCCATTTTAACTCATATGTCAACAATCTTCCTTTTAAACACTGACATATTCAGGTTGGCATTTTAACTCATATGTCAACATTCTTCCTTTTAAACACTGACATATTCAGGTTGCCATTTTAACTCATATGTCAACAATCTTCCTTTTAAACACTGACATATTCAGGTTGGCATTTTAACTCATATGTCAACATTCTTCCTTTTAAACACTGACATATTCAGGTTGCCATTTTAACTCATATGTCAGCATTCTTCCTTTTAAACACTGACATATTACTAAGATAATTCATTAAAATTACAAATATTTAACTCATTATGGCATCATCCATTCAGTCGCTACAATAATCGCTCCAATTCAGATTGTAACTGTAGATTTAAATAATACTGCAAATAGTCCATTTCAAACTTAAAAAGCTAAATAGGGTTATGTGGAGAGGAATACCTCCATTAAATGTTCTTTGATCAATCCTATGTCTTGTCCCATAGGGTAGCTTGAAGTAAGTTACGTCCCTCACTAAAATGTATGTGCATTCCTGCACACCCCACAACCCAAGGCAAACTCCTCCCCTGTGGGGGGATGGTCCACATGCAAGGGGCACTCCTCAACTTCCAACTGCTTTCCACGTGGCCCTGGAAGTATATTGTTAAAAATCATTAATATGGTTTATAAGGATTAGTTTGTGCTTTTCTGGGGTTGTGCTTTGTGCTTTCAGATTAGACATGAACTCCATGTATACTAGTTAAGACCATGAAGCTCTTCTTTTTAGACTAATATTTAAGCCAGGACATAAACATTTCAGTCCATTTTGTGTAAACATGTATATAATAAAGCCTTCATTCATTTTCATGATATATTGCTATATGTGCTTAGAGTTTGGTCATTGCCAGAATGTACCTACCTGTAGGACAAGACTGTCCATACTCAGAGTTTGGTCATTACCAGATTGTACCTACCGACAGGACAAGACGTTCAGTTATAACCAGATTGTACCTACCTGCAGGACAAGACGTTCAGTTATTACCAGATTGTACCCATCTGCAGGACAAGACTGTGCAGACTCAGAGTTCGGTCATTACCAGATTGTACCTACCTGCAGGACAAGACTGTACATACTCAAAGTTTGGTCATTACCAGATTGTACCTACCTGCAGGACAATGAGGCAGTTCACTGGGGTGCATGTTGGTGACTCTCTGAAAGTCATCGTGACATGGGTTACAGAAGTGAGTTGTCCCAAAACAGAAGAAAACGGCAACTGAACAGCAATATCTGCACTTGTACTCTAGGAAATCAGTGCCATGTTTTGGACACATCTGAAGAAAAAATATTATTTATTTATAAATATCATCCTAGAAACATATAAATATCATCCTAGAAACATATAACTCAAATTATATAGCGTTTAATATATGTAACTTTGTAGCCAGCATTTCATTACAAAACTCAAGGACCAACATATTAAAGCTTTTATACCTACAGGTATTTAGGTACGTGTATGTTAGGGCCAGAATATTTCTCGAATAAGGTATATCTCTAAATAAAGGGTCATTTTTATTTTTGATAATCAATTGGTTTAGGAAGACCAATAAGGATTAGGGATATATCACTGGAAATGTGACTCAATCTACATAAGAATGATGCAGTAGAATTATGCAAGGTCTCTAATGTAGTTGATCGATAAAAATCTGAGTTCATATAAAGTGAAACCCCTGTATATGAGAGTATAGAAATAGACAAAGACCTGGGCTCTTGAGACATCAGAACAGCCACCACACACCAGTTCTGCAGGGTTGTAGTCATCTCCTGCTAGCTGCTCATCACATCTTGCCTCACCACCATAGTACGCCTGCAAAATACAATGCATTATGGGTAATGTACTGCATTATGGGTATTAGAGTTGTGTAGGGTTCACAAACAATGTGCAATTATTGTTTAGATAAGAGGGGTTGCATGAGAAAAATATGTTTACAGTACGCCTGTGACATTGCATTATGGGTCATATAATACATTATAGGTAGTGTTTTGTGTAAAGTTCCTACATGATCCATTATATAAAGGTATATATGTAATGTACATGATATACATCATGTTCAGATCAGAAAGGATACATTAGAAAGATATGTTAACACAAACAAGTGTTATTGTATACAGTAATTGTATTTAGAACTCCTTGACAGTATCATTAACATGTCACATACTATAACAGTGTATAATATGTATACATGTCTGAGAATTTCACGATTGCCACTTATCCTAAATACATGATCAACTCGAAGTGGTTCAACTTCTAAGCAGTATATATTGTAAGTAAGAAAGCTTCCTACCTTTTTACACTTGAAGCAGACATAGTAGGCATATCTGTCCATGGCATACCCTGCAGGATCTTTGTAGAACCTTGTACCAGGTGTGGTGATGGCCTCTGCCTTGTGCAAGCCCTCATACTCGAGTCTCATCAACGCCTTCCTCTTCACATCCTCAAATAACATCTGAATTGGCCTGAGTCTCTCTGATAGCACCTTGTGAGAGATATCACCCTAAAAATAAATAACACTATATAGGCCTCTGATAGCACCTTGTGAGAGATATCACCCTAGAAATAAATAACACTATAAGGCCTCTGATAGTGCCTTGTGAGAGATATCACCCTAGAAATAAATAACACTATATAGGCCTCTGATAGCACCTTGTGAGAGATATCACCCTAGAAATAAATAACACTATAAGGCCTCTGATAGTGCCTTGTGAGAGATATCACCCTAGAAATAAATAACACTATATAAGCCTCTGATAGTGCCTTGTCAGAGGTGTCACCCTAGAAATAAATGACACTATATAGGCCTCTGATAGCACCTTGTGAGAGATATCACCCTAGAAATAAATAACACTTTAAGGCCTCTGATAGTGCCTTGTGAGAGATATCACCCTAGAAATAAATGACACTATATAGGCCTCTGATAGTGCCTTGTGAGAGATATCACCCTAGAAATAAATAACACTATATAGGCCTCTGATAGTGCCTTGTGAGAGATATCACCCTAGAAATAAATAACACTATATAGGCCTCTGATAGTGCCTTGTGAGAGATATCACCCTAGAAATAAATAACACTATATAGGCCTCTGATAGTGCCTTGCAAGAGATATCACCCCAGATATAAATAACACTATAATGGTCCCTGATCACTTTGTGGATAATTGAGGTATTCATGTACCAGTATATTTGTAAAATTAAATAATTTAGTGAAATGAGTACAATATAAAAGCTCACCTTGCATATTGGACAGTGAGAGAATCCAAATGTAATCCTTGGACCACTCCATCTACTTTCTAGGACCCTTTCACAGCATCTCTTGTGGAACACATGACCACAGTGGAGCTGGAAATAATGCGTATATTTAAGATTACTACAGGATGATTCATAACTCATTTAAAAGCAGTTTCAAGGCACCACACAGAGCTCTTAGTTCAATGTTCATGGGCGTTATAAACCAAAGTATAATCCAAATTTCACCTAGTAAACCCTGGGTCTCATTGGATATCACTCTTGTACTTTTTGCTATAGAGCTTTGATCACTGTATAAAAAAACGAATATTGCTTGCAAATAACGAGCAATTCTGGTGTTTATTTGCTTCGAATTGCATGTTATAAACAGTAATCATCACTGACAGAACGCAGACAATAACTGCATATATGGAACACAAATATATGCAGCTGCATATAACAAACATCCACAGAGAATACTGACTGAATATACGGGTACTGTCACTGAGTATATTTGCTTATATTCAGACATACTTTGCATATTTGCTGTTTACTTGTGATTATATGCAGCGCAGAAACTGCATATACCTGCTTATTTGGAAAAGACAAATATAAGCAGTTGAGCATACTAGATATATATATATATATGATCTGCATTTATGCCATTTTTCATGAGTATTCCTGCATATTTTGAGATAAGTGATATGCAGCATGTGATTATATTGAGACATGTACGAGAATATAAACTAACTACATTAGCATATATTGAGTCAAGATCGGTATATTTGGCATTCCTTTAAGATCATATGCAGCACAAGATATGCATATTTTTGCTTATTTAGGAGGACTGGTAGACGCTGTTTTGTGAATTGGGCATCGACCCAGGCATAAACGGGAGTTAAAACTGAATATACGCGTTAACACAAGTTAGAAAAAATTGCACACAAACAGCTTTTACGTTTTTATAATTTATTTTAAATTTCTTAAATACATCAGGAAACGAAAATCATTTTCAAAAACAAGGATATGATGTTCAATACTAAAAAAATATGATGAAACATTTTGATGGATATAAATAGGATTATTATGTTTTGGCCAAACCTGTATACTGCTAAACAAATATATTTACATTGCATTGTACATGATGTAACATTATATTTCTATCTTTAAAATGGTGCGAACGTATGCTCCAAATCAATGTATGCATATTGCTCGATCTTGAAAACTGTGTTTTTGTAGTTAGATATGGCCTGTCTTCCGGTAGAAAATTCTCGTACGATACCGAATTCTGCTTTCCCCATTCAAACTCCATTCTTCTACAAGTTTCTCAATATCTATGTAAATTCAGCTATCACATGGTTTCTATTTTGCAAGAAATCTGTCACTGCACACAAATACACTGCTCTGGAGACACTGCTCTGAAAGTACATAGACACTACTGTGTATTTTAATCAATGGTACAAAGACACCAGTTTATAGCATACTGTTCAGCCATACAGTATAATAGACCATCCAAGACAATCAATTAATTAAATTATCAAAATCAATGCCAAGTCTTATATTTACAACAATTTGCCAAGTGTCTTTATTGTGTTTTTTATTCATCGAACCTACTTATATCAAAACTCAATCATCTATCCATTAAGAGAAATAAAAAGCAAGCTAAACTTTAACTTACGAGAGGCTTCGTCGTGTTCCTGGGTCCGGCGTGGAGCAAACGACTGTCTGGCTAAATTGCGCCAATGTGTAGACATTCTCACCGCATGGCTTTATATTTATTGACTACTCGTAGAGCAAGCAAAGCAAGGCAAAATGTCAACCACCTTTGTGCATGTCACGTACGATCATTACCTGTGCATCATAGCTCGGAGACATGCAGCTTGCTCAATATCCACCCTCCCCTCATCTTCAGTTATTCAATAACAATAGATATTGTTAAAACATGAAAGACTAAATTCTGCAACATTTTGCTGCTATATTGAACAAGCATAATGCTGTGTTGATGAACCCATGATTTGACATCTCTAATAAGTAATCTAAACATAAACAGTGCTAATTACCTGACACAATTGCACAATTGTGGCCGGATGTTTGGAGAAGCATTCGTGATTTGTATAGAATTACCTTTTCATTCTTGGCATTCAAAATACAAACTAATAATTCACTTTTTATGTATTCAGTTTTAATTTCAAATAATAAGCTTATTCATAGGATTGAATCTGAATGACATTCTGGTGATTTGAGAATTGTATTAATCTTGGACACCCTCCCGACATAATATATCTTTAATAATCTGCAATCAAGAAATTGATAGACATAATTTAATCAGATAAATGGCTTATTTAGTTGTTAATATTACTGATAAAGTGTTTGTTGGAACCCTTATCTAATATTTGTGTAGGCCTTGATATATATCTTATCTATATAGGGATTCAGCTAGGGATTATTGGGTCAAATGTATTTTCCTCGCTAATGCATGCCTAGGTCACATTTGCTGCGATTCATCGGCCCGGTTGAGTATTTTGTTCCAAACTGAAATATGAGTTGCAATCAAATGTTTTGAAAGCCATTTACCATGATTTAAACAAAACATCATTAAAGCTCTTTTTCAGACATTCAATCAATTTAAATCAATCAAGTTTAAATGCGATCTCGCATACGAGATATACATGTATTGCATACATGTATTTGCAGATGTAGTGATTGTATCTTACTCACATTTTCACATAATAATAGCTGTCATTTGACATGTAATATTGAGTTTCCAATATTTTGATACATTTGTTTATTATTTTGCGATCATTAAAGCTTTAATCGGGGATAAAGATTGTGAATAAGTACACGTACATTACGTATTACAAGTCAAAAACCTTATTTACTTTACACCATAATTTACTAGGAACCCAGATGCTAGAAGAAGCAGTAGATAAAACTCACAAATAAGCTAGATGTATATAATTATTGAAAGGGTTATTGGTATTAAAAATCTCAATATTTCATTTCAACAAATGCCTTGATCTCAGGTATTACTTTCCCATGGATTTAAAAATCACCACAGCACTAATTATAAGTAACACCATTGAACAAAAGCCGTCTGATTGCATTACTTGCTAAAATAACATCCTTAGAAGTGAACAATACAAACATCTGATAATAATCTAGCTAAGCCCCCCCCGTGGTATCCATGCCCGCCTTTTTATATTCTTAAAAATGTTGAACTACCGTTTGTATTCCTTCAGAGATAATCGGTTAATTTCTGAATTTAACAGAAATTTAATTATACAATGTAGCACGGGGGCTTTACAATCATTTCATACATGTAAAACATACCTTGCAAAATAATTTTAGGCGGAAATTAGAACTACCGGCTGTAGAAATTAATCCATATAATAACTCTAACAAATGGATTAATATTAGTGAGAACTTAACTCATTTGCAAGAATTAAATAATAAGGGATTAAAGTTTTGTATATTGCTCTGGCATGTCAAAAGGTATTTTTGTAAGTTTGCTCTACCATGCACAAAACTAATTGATCTGTCAAATGAAACAGTTGCAATAAATGTGGCCGTTTCTTTATCTTTATTATCAACTGAGCATACCGAATCTTTCAAATTTCGTGAATATATTTGGAAATGAGAAACAAAGCAAGACCCAATTCGAAATAGAAACAAGGCTATCTCTGATAAAATGAAATATATTGTTTGCAAGTTTAACTCAGTAAAGTCACCTGAGTAATGTATGTCCCCTTATATCTTATTACACGATTGAGAAGACTGTGGCAATTCATCATATTCCATATTACAGGCTCGTTGCCAGCTTTTGCCAGGGGGAGGAGGGCTCAAGTACTGTGGCAATTCATCATATTCCCGGGCTCATATTACAGGCTCGTTGCCAGCTTTTGCCTGGGGGAGGAGGGCTCACGTACTGTGGCAATTCATCATATTCCCGGGCTCATATTACAGGCTCGTTGCCAGCTTTTGCCTGGGGGAGGAGGGCTCACGTACTTTCAGAAAAGTTTATATTAAACGCAATTGATATTTCATGCAAAGATCATGTAGAATATAGAGTTTAGTGTCAAGGTTATCTCATTTGATTTCACAAAATGGCTAACCTTATAAGCACTATTTGAACCAGGGGCAGAGTCAGCAATTGTTCAGGGGGTGAGATTTCTTGGGTTTGCATCAATGCGAACGAAGCGAGGCCCGGAACGGCGTTTACCGCCGGAATTTCTGGATGTCAATGTCAATGTTTTTTTGCAAAATTGCTTTTTCTTTTTGAGAGGGTGGGGAATGCAAGCGCACATGTTCCCCCCGCCTTGGCTACGCCCATGCGAACCTTCACCCAGCCGTAAACAGATATGGGAATTATGTTATAATGATCATGACATAGATAATGAGACAGAATGTAGCCTGTATAACTGTTGATTCCCGGGTTTTGTCTCTTCCTTCTCATATTATCAAATTATCAAAAAATGATATTTTGATTCACAAAACTGCACCGAAACATTACGAAGGCAACCGCATTTACAATCTATAGTTCTGAAAAAGCAGGATTAAAAAAGCCAGTTTCAAACTGAAGTTAAAAAGCCGGCATTTTGATACCCAGTTTTTAAAATTCAAATAAGAATACTATATTTATTTTCTATTTAAACTTAAATCAATTTATTATGAACAAACTATCCGGGCAAACTATGACCAAGCATCGGGAATAGAAAACTCATGTAAATGAGTTATATAAGACAATGAAATCAACACTGATTGAAACATAAACACTATGAAATCTTCTTTCGATTCCATTAACTGTTATAATTTTTTTTAAATACCGACTTTACCGGGAAGAATTTAACATGGGCTTTAATTCAAAGGCAAGAATGTGTTTTGATAACTTAAGCGGATTAAAAGCTGTTGGACGTTGCGCCAGTGATTTATATTTTATGATTCTGAATTGATTTGTGGATTATAATTGAAATCGAAAACAACACCAAAAGAGTCTAGACTTCCATTTGCTTTGATCATGAGGAATTGGAAACAATCAAAACAGCGATTTGAAAAAGTAAAAACTTGAATTCCCATGCATAATCCAAGATTTAATACAAACGGTGTTAACAGGTTGTCAATTTTAAATAATAATACCTTCTCAGGAAGAATTAGGTTGCATTGACTCTGAAAGTAGAGACAACAAGTTCAGCGGTGTAGCCAGCTTTCCGTCAGGGGGGGGGGGGGGGCGATATCCATACAAAACACGTGTTTGCACAAGCTATTTTTATTAGCAACGTTTGATAACTACAAGGAAGATCTCTCTTTTCTGGCGCGAATGTAAAGGTGTCCAAAATCATAATTATAGTAAAAATAGATCATTTCAAAATCCATCTAGTTGCTTATTATACACAGGTAAAGTCATATTCATTAAGAACTACGGACGGTTCTTACATTCTTTTGTTGTATTGTTTTATCATGCTTAAAAGAAAAATACGCACAAATATTCTGTTTTTTATTTGTATGCTCAGTTATAAAATGAGCAGTGTAACTTAGAAATAGCTTAATATAGTCAGAAAGAAGCAATTATAATGTGTGACTATATTGCACACTTACAAAGTATTGCGTTTGCATATATTTGAGTATTCTTAACTTCACATATAATCAGTGCTTATATGCGCTGTTCTACAAATAAAGAGGAGCAATACCTGAATATACAGAGTGTTCCATATATGCAGCGAGTATTGTCTCTGTAATGTCTCTGTTTATATGTACTGAGTATTTTTGCTGATTACTGCTGATTACAAGAGATTCTTACAAATAGACACTTCTTATAACCAAGCAATATTCTCTATTTTATACAGTGGATGCAGTTAAGTTTTTTTCTGGTAATATGTACAAAAAGTGGACACTTCCTAATTAGGTAAACAGACTTTACTGGGCAATGTCAAGGCATCTCTTAAAAAAATATGAATATGCATGTTTACCAACTCTAAATAAAAATGACAGGTCTTCATTATATCACATTTTAAAAGGACACAACTGTAATGGTGATAAATGGTGACAGCAATGATGAGCTCCATTTTATTATACCTGAATGGCAGGTGCACTAGACAATGCCTCTGTGAAACATATCATGCACATGTCATCAGCGTCCTGTTTTAAGCCTTCTTTATGTCCATTGGTGCACCCATGTAAGCACGCCAGGCATGTCATCTCGTCTTTAATACCTCCACATCTATGACCACATGGGAGTGTTTTTACACATGCATCTTTTGCATTCTCCTGTAAAAGGTGAAAATATATTGTGCAATCAATGCTGATATATGATTTTGAATACTGCCGATAGGTGGCGCACCTATCTGCCTTGTTCTAGTTTTTGTATTTATTCCATATTTCTTTACAAAATGGGAAAATCCTTTTTTAATTGATTTTCCTGTTTATAAACATACCCACCTCTCAATTATATGCCTTAGATTCCTTTAGCAATCTCTGTATGGAGTCCTAACACCCCTCTGGTTTTACTGATGACATTAACTTGGACGCGTCCACTATTGAATAAAGTAGTTTGTACACGTGCCAACGTCCTCAATTTCCCTATTCCCCCTAATGAATAGTGGGGAGGTCGAGTGGGACTTTGGTAATTGAGAGGTGGGTATGTTTATAAACAGGAAAATCAATTAAAAAAGGATTTTCCCAGTATTATTACACATCCCACCTCTCAATTATATGCCTGAATGTAGCCGAAAAGGAGGTGGGTGAATTCAGTTAAACCAGAGGGACCCACAAACCAACAAGTAGAACATTCTAAATAATTTACATTATAAAATCATAAGAATGTTTAATGATGATGACTCACCACAAGGCTGTTGAAGATGCTATATGTTGTATAGTGAGCCTGCAGCCATCATAGGGCCTAATTTCCGCAGTTCTCCCTCGATCACTGATGTATCTCGTAGGTAGAAGCTGGTGAATGTGTTGTGATTTGCCCATGAGCAGGCTTTGAGAACTGCAGTAACTGACAGATTTGCTTGAACAGCAAGGCTTGCAGATAAGGCCCTGGTTTCGTGGGTTTTAATAGAGTTGATTTGGTAATCTGTTTCTTGTGAATTTTTGTAAGTATACAAGATCAGATTTTTCACCCAAGAAGATATAGTGTTTACGTGTATATCTCCAGTATATCCGGCTTTGTATGGTATAAACAGTCTATTTCGGTTGCCCCTTGTTGAGACTGTGGCTTGAAGGTAGTAACGTAGAGCTCTGAGGGGGCAAAGTGTCCTGTCTGGAGAGTCTCTATTCACCAGTGTGGTGAGAGCTTTAATGAGGATTGGTTGAAAGCGAGATTCTCCTTCTGCAGCTGATAGTGACTTTGGTAGAAATCCTATGAAGGGATACATAGTTACTTGGTCCCTGGATTCTGACCATTTTAAACGTCTGAAGTCGAGTGCATGTATATCGCTTCTTCTCTTCCCTGAAGCCATGAGTAAAAGAAAGAGTGTTTTCCATGATGTGAATTTAAGTTCCGCTGTGGCCATAGGTTCGAAGGGTGCTTTGGATAAAGCATTAAGAACAAATACAAGATTCCATTTAGGTACTATGTTCCTTGGTGTCAGGTTTTCCAGTTTAAAAGATCTGATAAGATCGCCTATGAGGGAATTATCAGTCAGGTCGATATCAGATGATTTTTTCAGTACTGTATTAATGGCAGTTCTGTATCCTTCAATGGTAGGAATTGAAAGTTTCTTAGTCTGGTGAAGATATAGTAGAAACTCTGCCACTAGAGGAATATCTGCTTGGCATGGATCTGAATTCCGTTCATAACACCAAACAGTGAAGGTGTTCCACCTGGAATCATAGAGTTTATTTGTGGATTTCCTCCTTGATGATTCTGAGATTCGAAGAGACACTTCTGTAGAAAAGCCTTGTTTTTTGAGGGTGTCGTTGACAATTTGCAGGCGTGAAGGGCAAATATTTCCGGAGTCTGGTGAAACATGCTTGTCTTTGGCATTTTTAGTAGTTTTTGAGACACTGGAAGCGTTCTTGGGTAGTCCGTTAGAAGTTCCAGAATTTGCGTGAACCAAGGTTGATTTGGCCATTTTGGAGCTATCATTATGGCTTCGCAATTGTGTGTTCTCATTTTTGTTAGAACTTTGTCGATCATGCTTGTTGGTGGGAATATGTAGAAGTTGAGATTGTCCCACGGGATTGACATTGCGTCTGTTCCCCAGCTGTTTTGGTCTGGTACTGGGGATACATATAGTGGTAGTTTGTTGTTGTGACATGTCGCCATCAAATCTAACTGAGGAGTCTCCCATATTTGCCACAGTCGTTTCACTATTTGTGGGAGTAGAGACCATTCTGTGTTCACTATCCTGTCCCGAGATAGTGCGTCTGCCCGTCGGTTTAGGGATCCTGCTATATGTTGAGCTCTTATGTTTATTTGGTGGTTTTTGCACCAGATTAGGATTTCCTGGCTTAGGGTCAGAAGACTTTTCGATTTTGTCCCGCCTTGTTTGTTTATGTAGCTTAGGGCTGTTGTGTTGTCCAGGCAAACTAGAATGTTTGCTTGAGGTACCAGTAGATGGTTCAGTTTGTGTAGAACTTTCAATACTGCCGCTAGTTCTAGCCAGTTGATGTGGTTTCTCATTTCCGATGGGGACCAGAATCCATTGATTTCCACAGAGTCCATGTGTGCACCCCACATAGTCTCCGATGCATCCGTGAAGATTGTGTGATCTGGGACAAACATTCCCAGAGGTTGACCCATGAGTAGATTCTGCTCGTCCATCCACCATTTCAGTGTGTTTATTACTTCTTGGTTGATGTAGATTGGTGTCTCTAGTGATTTTGTAGGAGACATCTGGCTGGCTAGGCACTGTTGAATTGGTCTCATGTATAGTCTGCCCCAGGGTATATTTTTCTCTGCTGAGGCTAGTAGGCCTAGTAGTTTCATCCACTGCCTTGTTGGTTGAGAAAGGGTATTGGTGAATAATTGTGCGATTTCTAAGATTTTCTGGATCCTGTCTTGCGGAGGATATGTTAGGCCTAGTATTAGGTTGTATTGGGTGCCTATGTACTTGAAAATCTGTGTTGGGATCAGTTCGGATTTTTCTCTGTTGATCACAAAACCGAGTTTTTCCGTCACTGATAGTACTGTTTGTGTCCATATTTGGCACTGTTGTGCAGATGGGGCTCGTATTAGCCAATCGTCGAGATATTGGTGTGTTAATATCCCTTGGAAGTGTAGGAAGGCACCGATTGCTAATGTCACTCTTGTGAAAACATAAGGGCTGGTTGACATTCCGAATGGAAGTGTTTTGAATTGGTACACTTTGTTGTTGATCACGAAGCGAAGAAACTTCCTGAATGGTTTGGCTATCGGTATATGGTAGTAAGCATCCCGATAATCGATGGATGTGGCCCATTCGCCCTTTTGTAGAGAGTTTGATATTTTGGCTGAAGTTTCCATTTTGAACTTTGGGCATATTATGTGTTTGTTGAGGAGAGACAGGTCTATTATGGGTCTGTAATCTCCGTTTGGTTTTTGGCGTAAGAATATGATGCTGTAGTGGCCCGGTGTGTTGTAGTCTGTTTCCTCCACAGCTTGTTTTTGAATTAGGAGATCTACTATGTTTTGAAGCAGTAGAGCTTTTGTTTTTGATGCCGATTCGAAGTTGTTGAAGTTTTTTGTCAAAGGTGGATTGTTCACTAGTTGTGGCATGTAGCCATGTTTTATCACATTTAAAATCCATTGGTCCTTTGTGATGAGTTCCCAGTTTTTTAAGTGTAGTTGAATCCTGCCTCCCACTGGTCCCAGCTGGGACATAGGTGAGAACGGGGGGAGGCGGGGCTGGGACATTGATGTTATTGAAGTGTCATTTACGCTTCTTAAAGCCTGATTTGTTGTTATTGTTGTTGGATTTTGTAGAAGTAGAACGGTCAGAGAAGTTTCCTCTGTTGTTGTTTCTGTTGTTGTTTCTGTTGTTGTTGTTGTTGTTGAAGTTGTTCCTGTTAAAGTTGGAATGTTGATTACTACTTCTGTTGGAGTTGTTATTACTGGATTTATCATAATTCTGTTTTCGATTTTTCCAGTTTGAAGCTAAATCTTGTAGCGCTTTTGAGGTTTTAGATTTATCCGACCCTTCACAGATATTTTTTAAATCCTCTTCAGGAAATAAAAATTTTGTGTCGATGGGGAGATTCCTAAGGGCTTCAGCGTCTGACTTCCTGAACTTGGAGCTTACCCTGTCCCTTTGAGTCAGTATGACGTTTGTGACATTTGAAATAGTGTCCCTTGTAGCTTTATTTACCATAGTTGAAGCTGTTGTAATAAGATTGACGAGATCCTCATTTTCAGGGAAATTCTCCGCAATGATTTTCCCTGTTGTCCCTAGAATCCATTCAGTGTGAGACAGATGACGAAGAGGAGCTCTTGCTGATTCTTCCAACAGTTTGTGATGTTTGGCTGGAAGCTGGTAAGAAGTTGAAGCCAAATCTGATAGTTTCATGGAATGTGGAACAAGTTCCTTAGTTGTCCCATTCAAAATGGATTTTTTATAGAAGTGTTCATCTTCTTTGAGGGACGTGAACGATCGTTTTGGTCTTAACAGGAAGTTAGTGTCATTCATGTTTTTCTTGTTGGCTAATTCCTGGTTAATGTTGGCGAAATTCTGTAGCACTGAAGGCCCGATCGGTAAGCCTTTTGTTGTGTCTGAAGAAGTAGATTTCTTACCCAAAGTTTGAAGTCCTAGCGGTCTATTTTCCGTTTGTGTTTCTGTGTTATAGTCTGTAGTTGTTTTAAAATGACTCGGAAAGGCATTTTTAATTAGTTTAACACAGTTCTTCCAACAAATTAAGTCATGATCGTTGTCGGAATTGGAAGAATCCGAGTCTTCCGGGTTATTGCTGTCACGGCGCATGTGCGCAGGAGAGGTCACGGGCGAGTCCACTTCGCTGTAGGGATGATCACTTCTTGCCCGTTTGGGGCTAGATGCCCGGTCCGGGGAAACATACTGTAGACTAGACGGCGAAACAGTTCGCTTTTTCGCTCTTTGTACCTCCCTTCTTTTAGCGGACCTGCTTCTGTTGGTTGTTTCACCTAGAAGTTCAACGTCAAGTTGTTTGTTTGCTACGAGCAATTCAAGAGTTGGAGTCAGTCCTTTGATAATATCTTGGACCATATCTGGCGATATACTTGAGGCTAGCCCTGGTTGTTGATTTTGATAGGTCCGCAGTTCGGAGTGTTGTTGTTGTTGAGATTTTGAAAACCTCTTAGATGGTAAAGTGTTTGTTGCTCTGAATCCTATTGAATTCAGACTATTAGACTGTATGAAGTCTCTCCCTGTTGTAGGGTGCTGATGTTGAAAGTTGGATGTGTCCTGCACCTCAGTCCCGGGTAGGGAGGTGAGCCCAGAATCACGAGTATCCAAAGTAGGGTTGAAATTTGACTGGCAAGTCAAGTCCTTCCCTTGTGAGTTCATATCATGCCCCTCATTTCCTGGTGGAATGAGCCCACGATTCATGAAGTCACTGTTGATGTTGTTGTCAATGTCTATGCCGCTGGTGATGGTGTGGGATGGCATGCTACCCGGAGTTGGATTTTCCTCGCCAGAGAAAATGTTCCCTTGCAGCAAATTTGAAGTATCCCTTTGAAGTTGACTTGAAAAGTCAGGAATTTGTCCATCTTCCAGTTGTTCATTGGCATTGTAGTTCATTGTTGAATTAAGGTTGATATCCTTTACAACTGACGACTTGTTGTTCTCCATATAAATTTTTGTTTCAAACAAAAACGGCGTGTTGATTGCACTAATGTATGGGGAAATTGAGGACGTTGGCACGTGTACAAACTACTTTATTCAATAGTGGACGCGTCCAAGTTAATGTCATCAGTAAAACCAGAGGGGTGTTAGGACTCCATACAGAGATTGCTAAAGGAATCTAAGGCATATAATTGAGAGGTGGGATGTGTAATAATACTGTTAGCTTACATGTATTTATATGTATTCATATTTATTTCTGGTAGTTACATATAAACTAAACTAAATGCATTCATATTTCAAAAATGTTTCTGCTGTTGATGTTATTGTTTAAAAGACAAATTCAAGTTCCCACTAACAAACATACACCCCCAAAATAATGAAATCAGAAATTAGACTCCGTTCTGGCATCAATTGATATTGGCTGTGTAAACATGAATATTTCTCGAACAAAATTGATGGAATGAAAACTTAGTAATTGATCTTACTTGACATTCTGGTTCCTGACAGACACATCCTACTACAGAAACAAGACCACTATCACAGCTGGTGCCACAGAACCTACACACTCCAGTTGTATTGCTGGGCTTCCCTACAATTAGAACAAGCGTTTACATGCAAAATGTCACCACTTGTCATTACTTACAGGGTTTGTAGAAAAAACCGGGTACCGGGTTTCGGGTAGTAAATCCTCCAAGCTTGGTTCAAACTTGGTACCTGGTGCCCGGTTGATAAAACTGGGTACCCAAAAAACGAAAATATAATGAATATATAACATAATTAGATCGTTAGAAAACATGTAAGATTGGTTTTGAATTTACAAAAATGTATGTAACTTCCTTCAAAATTGAGCCTAGAAGCTTCATATAATGAAGGACCCACGGTCCTATGCTCACACAGTTTGGAACCTTCAGAGGAATTTATATCCTGACTTTCAAACAAAAATATTGATTTGGATTTGTAGTCTCGAACTTTGAGAAACTTAGATAGCATAGTTATGTGACCTAGTTTGATGACCTTTGACCTTGAAAATTTTACTTATTCAGAGCTCAGTAAGGTCTTTTGTGATTAAGCTGACCAAAATTTACATCCAAAAATCAATTTGAAAAATCAACTTTTTTGACCTTTCAAAGGTCACTGAAGGTCAAGTAAAGGTCAAATCCTAAAACTAATGTCAGATTTGAACTCCTGGCAACTTGTAGATGATTTTCAAAAAAAAATTTGGTCAAATTGAAGCAAGTTCAAAAATAACTTATTTTTACTGTTTTTTGACGTCAAATATTTCAAAACCTGTAAAAATTTGATGCTGACATATATTGAGAAATATGTAGGGAATGCTTGAATCTATTAATGATGTAATTTATTGCAGGAAATGATCAAGTATAAGGCAAACTTTGAGAATCCCGTCAATCACAAAACCTGCCATTGACTTTATACATGAGAAAGTTTTCTGAAAATGACCAAGTCCTACTTTTTTTCAAATTTTATAGAGTAAACACCAAAAACCGTAATTCCAAGAGCTTTGAAATCTTCAGAGGACATAAGTTGCATAGACACCAACTACTAAAAGTTATTTGAAAGTTCTACTTCAACAAAGTGTCTAGTATTTACAGAAAAGTTGACTTTTTGACGTCAAAATCCGCAATTTCTCGGAAACCGGGCGAACTTGGGAAATGGCGATGATAGGTCAAATAGGCATTATGGATATGCATAAAATGAATGTGGATATGACTCAATCCGAATAGCAGTTTTAATTTGTGCGGCCAATGTTGACGGACGGACGGACGGACCAACGGACGGACGGACGGACGCCTGGTCAATCCCATAGGCTCACTGTGTGAGCCAAAAAGCATTTTAAGGCTCTTTTCTTCCTCTATCATCATGGTCATATTTTCATCGGTTAAGGGAGGGGGTGCAATCACACCATCGCACCCCCTCCTGGCTACGCATATGACATTGTAAGACGTAACAATTTACATTTCAGTGGACGTTTCGTCGAAAATTGGGATAACTTAAATTATGATTAATAATCAAAATCTTACATGTTGCATCATGTAAAAAATTAACACACGTCACCTCTCTGCTAATGTAATGATAGCTATTTACAGATTTACATCATAATCAAAACAATTCACGTTCCGACATCCGAAATATTGAAAATAGAGTAAGATTGATTTGTCATTTTTTCCAAATCGTCTTACTATGTCAAAGGCGTAGCCAAGATTTTTTTTTTTTTTATAAAATCAAACTTTATTAATAAACATATTTTACATTACATGCATACAATAAGATAAAATACAATTATAGAAATTTCAAGTTACATTACATCTTTCTGATCATTATTTCATTCTCAAAAATAGCTTTTACATTACTAGCTGTATTGACCCTTTTTTTAAAATCATGTATAGCTTTTTTAATTACCAATGTTTTAAGTAAATCTTCTTTTTTAACAATTGCATTTCCAATTTTTTGATCATTTGTAACATTTACATCATCCCAAATTGATTTAATACAGTCACAATTGATAAAGAAGTGGTCAATGTCATCTTTTACATGTGCGTTACAAAAATTACAGATGTCAGAGTTTTCAATGTTACATTTCTTCAAATAAATATTTTGAGGGTAAATACCATGTAAAATTTTCCATTGAATTACCAAAAGGGTAGTATCGGTTGTACATTCAAAAAATTGAGACCAGACTTTATCGTTTAGAATCTCACCATTAAATTTTATGTCACACTTTCTCTCTAAAACAACTTTTGTTCTCACAATTCTTGTGTTTAAAAGATGGCTCTCAATGCCCTTTAAAAAATAATTTTGTACAAGGTGTTTCCATTTCATATTTGATAAGGAGATCTTGTGTTAAACATGCTTTAAGTGCATTATATTGAAGAATTGTTTGGCCATTTCTCCCTATTTTCTGGACAATGTTATCAAATGCTAACATTTCCCTATCCTGGACAACATCTGAAATATATGTAATGCCCTTTTCAATCCAGTTTTCAAAAAATAATGGAGAATTATTGAGAGTTACACTTTCATTGTTCCAAATAATGCTCTCATTTTTAAAATCATTGTGTTTTAACCATACATGTAATACATTTTTATAAAAATTACCCAAGTTATACAAACCTTTAATTCTATCAAATCTATGTTTGAGTTAAAAATACTGAGTCCATTACCCATTTTTCAATGCGTAGCCAAGATGGTGTGATTGCACCCCCCCCCCCCCCCCCATAACCAATGAAAATATGACCATGATGATAGTTTTAAAACATATTGTTTTGGATTTTGCCTTTTTGGTTGCACAGCCTTCTCTTGAAAGCCCATGTGAAATCCAAATAGTCCATACTCAGCTAGTTTTTGCATCAAATTGAATAAACAACATTATAGAAAATAATTGATTAATTAAGATCCATGTACGAAACAAAAGTGACCATTTTGATATAGGGTGCAGTTTTGAATATAAATGAATGAATAAAAAAGTTCACCTACCACTTTTAGCCCCTTCTTTGAACTCCACCAAGGCCTTTAATGTGTTGGAGTCTGCCAGGGCCATGATCCAGAAGAGCTTAGTCCTGCCACAACCCTCATGTAAATCAACCTTGATGGCCTCTTCCTCCTCTTTAAACACCTGCAAATAAACAGTCGCAATCTCCAATGTTAAATAAATGGCTATTAAAGGTCAAGATTTCATGAATTCCAAATATTTCTTGAAAAACGAGAAATTTTATAGTCACTGGGAAAAATGGTTTGGAAATTACTTTTGGAATAAACTGATTGGATTTTCCCTGGTAGGAAGTAAATATGTGTTTTATCCCAAGACAAATGCTGACCTTAATAAGTGCACTACTTCTGCGAATATCACATTGTCCCTTGAAAATAAAACCCATATCAATACTCCCAGTAAATAAGCAATCTATCTTTTAATGAATTTATTGTTGAATAAGAACCTATTGATACATAGAAAATGGAAATGAAAAAGAGCTCAAGGAAATCAATTTAAGTATAATAGCCTGTAGGCAGGTTGGGGAAAAGTTGTCATGTTTACGGCAAAAAGGAGAAGAGTATAGACACCTATACCATTTTGATCTATGTTATAACACACCTGTAAGTGGAGCACTGAGTCAATTTGACTCACTGTATTGGATCTCCTCTTTAAGTGGAACACAGCATAAGTGGAACCTGCAAGCCAGTTCCACTTGCACAAATTTTAATAGTAAATGTTACCACATACCTGTCTTTGATGGGACTTGGTTCTACTGTGCAGATGTAGGAACTTGTCACAGTCTGTACATAGGTTGCCACAGTCATTACAAAGTATAATGGCAGGTGTCAATCCATCATCATGATTGTCACATGTAGGCTGAAACATATGCAAATTAGTCTTTAAAGGACAGGACTTTTGATATAGGGGGGGGAGAAAAATCTTGGAACCGTGACAAAAAATATTGCTAAGGGGAAAAAGCCCCAAATGGAATATCTAATACTTCATCCAACATGATGTCAACTTATATTGATCTGAAAATGTAGATTTCAATTTCTGTAAAATAAACTTAACTAACTCAGGTTTGAGAAAGATATGGTTGTATCTATGATCTCCATGGCATTAAAATGTCTGAATCTCGGCTAACTTTTATGAGAAAAATCAAAATCTAAGGATTCATTTAAACAGATAAGATATTTATCCATATTCATGTTTTAAATAATTACAGTTATAATGCATTGTTTCTTCAGTACATGAAGGTTGTATACATATTTTCATTATTTTTATATTTTCATTTTATTGATTATATACTTATTATGCTATTTGTTACCCGTGACTGGGATCTCTCGCCATCGCTGGTCACCCATTGGCCGGATGACAGCCTCTCGACATGTTCTTGCTCCAATACACACAAAGATGCTAGAGCTAGCCACATCTAACAACCAATCAAATTAAAGACATAAAATAACAAATCGTTAACATGGAAACAGGCAAGTCATTCCCAGGAAGCAAGTTTAAGGAACAAATATTTTCAAAAGATAGAAAATTGGTCATAATAAAATTGGAAAAATCATCAGCCAAAGGAAGATGTATATTCTCATTGCATTCCTAGATATGTACACTGTACAATACATGCAGTATTTGCTATTACTATATACCCCATATGTATTCTAGATGCTCATTGGCTTATTCATGGTCACATGATATGAAACAGATGAACTAATTCCCTGGAAAGTTCTAATGAATGAAAATGTACAAATCACCAGTTAGGTCATGTGATCAGTCATTAGTATATTTATCTTCCCTGATAGCTGAGATTATAGAAGTTGAAAGGAACCTTTAAATGCAAATAAGAACCTGTCAACATTAAATGTTGAAATGAAAAGACTTCTCATTTTGTTTTTGTTTACAGAGTACATATGAGGTATATAATAAAACAAATAGTGACTGCCACATTTTTGGGAAATAGTGTTAAAATTTCCCCCTGGTGAAAATATCCTGTCCACTGACATGTTCCCTCAGCCTGCAGCCTTGGGAACATGTCAGAGGACAGGATATTCACTTGGGAAAAATATTTTGCACTATTTCCCTCAATGACAATCACTATTTGTCTACTAACCAATAATACTGGATGAAATTTTCATTTCAAAATTGTTGAATAATGTGTTGCTCAGTAAACTTGCCAACATTCTGGGTAATATAATGACTTTAAATTAATGTAAAATATGCAGCAAGTAGCGGCAACAGAAGCTGGTAATTGAAAATGAGCTGTATTAATAAATGGTTGAAAACAGGATAACATCATGCTATAAACGAAATAAACATTTTGTAGGCACAGTTCTATATGTACAAACAGACATTTAGTGTAATAATATGATGAAATTGCACATGGTTCCAAAGAGGGAGAAACTTCAGTTTTAAACACTCAACTTTGTAAACTCGTTCACAAGTCCATTGCACAATATGGTAAAACAGGTATTCTCAGAATACAGATTTAAAAGCTTTTTATTCTGAGCTGCTGTTAATAGCCTTTCAGATAACAACTCAGCTGTTTCAGATACTACAGTCATTTTATCCCAACATTAAAGCAACTGGGTCTTCATAACCTAAAAAATTAGTACCGTGGGTACTGGGCTCACATGGTCACATTTTTTGCTGCTTTTTTGTTACAAAATTATTTCAAGCCATCTGTCTCTCAGTCAATTAAAATGGCTGAAAAAAAAACGGATATAATTTTTTGCCAATAATTTGTAACAAAATTATTTCATACATCTACTCTTTACATTGACATGGATTTTTACAATGTAGGACACTTGAAATTATTTGTAAAGCTAGGAAATGGGTCAAAAGTGAATTTCGCGAGACAAAAATGGCGGCCATTTTGAAAATAGGCGAGCTTTTGAACCAGGAGTCATAGGGGAGTTTTCTGAATTCATGTTGAACAGAAATAACTTAAAACAGGAATCCTATCGACAGAGGTTTTAAAACGTGCCACAGAAAGTGGATTTCGCGAGTCAGATAGACAAATCAATGTTAACTAAAATGGCTGAAAATAAAAAAATGGATACAATTTTTCGCTGATTTTTTGTAACAAAATTATTTCATATATCTACTCTTTACATTGACATGGATTTTTACAATGTAGGACACCTGAAATTATTTGTAAAGCTAGGAAATGGGTCAAAAGTGAATTTCGTGAGACAAAAGTGACGGCAATTTTGAAAATAGCCGAGGTTTTGAACCAAGAGTCCTAGGAGAGTTTTTTGTATTGATGTTGAACAAAAATAACTTAAAATGGGAATCCTATCGACAGAGGGTTAAAGGTAAATGGTCCAAAACTGAATTTTGCGAGACAGATAGACAAATCAATGTTAACTAAAATGGCTGAAAATAAATAAATGGATATAATTTTTCGCTGATTTTTCGTAACAAAATTATTTCATACATCTACTCTTTACTTTGCAATGGACTTCTACAATGTAGGACACTTGAAATTATTTGTAAAACTAGGAAATGGGTCAAAAGTGAATTTCGCGAGACAAAAATGGCGGCCATTTTGAAAATAGGTGAGCTTTTGAACCAGGAGTCATAGGGGAGTTTTCTGAATTCATGTTGAACAGAAATAACTTAAAACAGGAATCCTATCGACAGAAGTTTTAAAACGTGCCACTGTTATTGACAGAAAGTGGATTTCGCGAGTCAGATAGACAAATCAATGTTAACTAAAATGGCTGAAAATAAAAAAATGGATACAATTTTTCGCTGATTTTTTGTAACAAAATTATTTCATATATCTAATCTTTACATTGACATGGATTTTTACAATGTAGGACACCTGAAATTATTTGTAAAGCTAGGAAATGAGCCAAAAGTGAATTTCGCGAGACAAAAGTGACGGCCATTTTGAAAATAGGCGAGCTTTTGAACCAGGAGTCATAGGGGGGTTTTCTGTATTGATGTTGAACAGAAATAATTTAAAACAGGAATCCTATCGACAGAGCTTAGCTAGGAAATGGGCTAAAAGTGAATTTCACGAGACAAAAGTGACGGCCATTTTGAAAATAGGCGAGCTTTTGAACCAGGAGTCATAGGGGGGTTTTCTGTATTGATGTTGAACAGAAATAACTTAAAACAGGAATCCTATCGACAGAGGTGAATTTCACGAGACAAAAGTGACGGCCATTTTGAAAATAGGCGAGCTTTTGAACCAGGAGTCATAGGGGGGTTTTCTGTATTGATGTTGAACAGAAATAACTTAAAACAGGAATCCTATCGACAGAGGTTTTAAAACGTGCCACTATTGTTGACGGACAGACGGACAGACAGACGGACGGACAGACAGACGGACAAGTGAGCGATTGCAATAGCTCACCATGTGAGCTAAAAAGCATTTCAGGAATTTTGAAAAAAGGCCGGAAGTAGAAGTAGAAACTAAAGTAGTAAAAAAGTTTTAATTGAGAAATTTTGCACCAAGAAAAATTCATAGAGGACTCTGGATTTTGTTTAAAATTGACTATTTATACCTCTGCCAAACAAGTACATAATTAATAAGGCAAATTCAGTATTTCACAAACAGGGTATCTTAAAAGTCTTACAGTTTCTAGTGAACATTTGTCTTCCTTTCCAAACTTGGCATCAAAAGAGAATCATTTCCTCCAGTTATAATATCTTTACATGCATTAAAGAGAGAATCAGATATAGAGAGCAGGCTAAACCAAAAATTGTTTCAATTTTAGAATATTTTTGGCTCATGTCATTCCTTGTCATGACTATTTTCTAAAAATCACTAAAGTGCATACTTTATTCCAGGAAAACTAAAGATTTTTACAATATTGTATTATTTTTCTATAAGAATGGTTACCATTCTAATTATTTGGGAGAATTTAAACATTTTTCACTCATTTTTGCACTTTGAATCATTAATTACTTCACCAATTTATAATATATTGTGAATCTTTTGGGAGATATTGTATTTGATATTGTAAGGAATAGATTGGTAGGTCAATCATACATGTTGCTTGTAACTTTGTCACCCCCTATAGATCAGATTCTGCCTTTAAATTAAAAGTGAAAAATCACAAAACTTTTTGAACACCCTGTAGTTTCTGAGCTTTTCAAACAAAACAACATGGTATGTTGAAAGTATGTCGGATCCTCTGCTAGACCAAATTCTTTCACGCGTGCAGGTTTGCTGGAATATGAAAATCCTTGCAAATACTAATTGGTTAACAGACTAATGTAATCTGGTTTCTATTTCTTTTCAGGAATTCACCAAAGATCCACAATTTTTTCATTTTCTAATCTGAAAGACTGAAATGATGACTTTCACAATATGGTCTTAGAATTAGGTCATGATGTTTTTGGTCAGAACTTTCAAATGGTTATGTTGAGTGAGGACATTAGGTTATACATATTTATGTAGGACTGCAACCATGATGTGTTTGCAAGGATATGCACATGCAAAATTAACATGGCCAAAGTGACAACATTTAAAGCACAAATCCTTACACGTGATTGGCTCTGCTTGCTACCCAACCATCGGCCGGATGACAATCGTTCCGTGTGGTCATGATCCAGAGCACATAATGATGCTAGGGATAGCCATAGCTACATAGAAAATTCAAATTATTTTAATTAAAGGGCATTCTTTACAATAAATCAATATATTGAGATGAAGCTGTGACTCTGCAAAAGGGATCCAATATAGCAGCTAAAATAATTGGATGATATATGGGGTCAAATCCACCACTAAATTCCCTGAAATTAATCATTCTTATGTATTCTATATTGCATTAGATTTGAAGATATCTATGGGTTGCTTTAAGTCCTACTGACTTGAGCGCAATTTCTAGTATTTCATGCATTTTTAATTACCTAAAGGTTGAATCTATGAAAGAAATGGTGAAAAGATTACAAGGATTATGTTTTAACATTTTTAACGCATTATCAATATATTTCCAAGTACATAAGTTGCCCAACTTTTCAAAAATTCACCCCAAACTCTGATTCTTCCTAAAGTAAAATGATAATACTCATAACAATAATAATTTTAATGATAAATTTAATGATAATACAGGGTGTCCATAAAGTCGCTTTACACTTTACATAGACTTTGTATAATAATTGTAAAGACGCTTCATGGACACCCTGTATATCCTAGGCTTCACTTACAGTTGGTACTTTTATACATTCAGATGATGTCCTAAGTCTCTCTTCCAGTTTGGTTAGGTTCAATATAGCCTCTGCAATAGCCCCTTTGGTGACAGTGGCCCAGTTTTCTGCCAGCTTACCCTGTAATAAATATACATTTGACTCATATCATTTCAGACATGTGATCTGAATTCACACACAGCTATGTTCACTAGTGAAACTATTAGGGTACTGGGGCTACCCCTACTTGGACACCCTCCGTATTCCCCAGACCTTGCACCCAATGACTTTTACTTATATGCAGAACTCAAGAGTGACTTGAGAGGAAATAAATTTGGAAGTACTGATGAAGTCAGATCACATGTCTTAGCAAGACTTCAGGAAATGGGCAAGAATGGGTTTGAAAGTGTGTTTAGAGAGTGGGTGAATAAGCATAAGAAGTCGTATAGCTAGAGATGGACATCATGTTGAATAGCTTATTTTCATAACAATGGAACATAAGGACTGTTTCTATATCGTATTTGTGGTAGTAATAGACATGGGGGTATGAATAAAGCTATCAGAAAGAATAAATATGTTTTGGAAAGTTGTGACGTAAACAAACTTTCCCTGCCTTTTTGTTGTTTTGGTTGCTGTAGCAACCACAACTCTGACCAATCAAATGGAAGACACTTTAAATTCACAGAATAAAGGTAAAAAGGTTTGGGCTACAAACCCTGAAAATTTCATCAAGATTGGTGCAATATTAAGAAAGTTACAATATCTTTCACCTTATTTATTTTACACCCTGTATATATACATTTAACAGTGAATCAATCTTTCCAAAACTTATTCTTACAGAACTGAACAAAACTGTGGAGCAATATAATTATTTCGGAATGGGCAGGGTGTTGCCATGATATATGATATATTGTCGTACATGTATATATACACATTACACACAAGGTAAATTTAAATTGCGACTTACAGCTGCCATATCTTTGAGCAGTGTTACAATACTGGTGGCCTGCTGGGTTGACATGGTACCTTTAAGGAACCACCTGTTCCCAGACTGATGTCTGAAAATAGATGATGATGATGTGGTATAAATATCTCATGCATCCTCTCAATCCTTTTCCTTCAGAAATTTCCACATTCACACCCTTGTCTACACTATAAAGAGCTCTAATCAAGTTGTCAATTTATTTCCTTAAAAGCAACTATAATATTCAAAGATATTTTAAGGTAGTTCTACACCATCATTAAGTGCTTCATTAAAATGATCATTATATGAATACAAATATGATGTCAAATATGCTTGAAGCTAGGGAACATTTGGGGTCTGGGGTAATATCAGGAGAGCAGAGGATCAAGAGGATGTATCCAACTAAACTCAACAGATTTTCCCCTTCTGCACAATTTATAGTGTTCTCACTAACTTTGTTTTGTTATTCAATTACTACAATTAACTTATTGTATGCATCAAAATTATGTAATAATATGAACCAAAAAACTGTTTGCAAATGTGTCGTAATATCACAAAATGTACATATAGCCATCTTTCGCAAGTGAATAACTACCTTAATTCACCTTAACTCTGCTGACTTATTAACATAATGTAACAGAACAAACCTGGTTGCTAGGCAATCATTGAGTGTCACACTTGTGACACCTTTACCGCCTGTTCCACCTTTCACTTTCATTTGAACTGTCAAAGCTTTTGCAATCACCGCCAAAAACACATCTAGAATTCCTGCCTTTTTGGGATCAATGATGTCCCCATCTTCAGCCTTTGATGTGTCTGAGATAATGCTGTAGTCACGTGGTGGAAGATTTTGGACTTGAAGAACATTGGCGAGAATATGAGGAGAGACATCAGGAAGAACACGTCTTAGGAGGGACGTCACCTAAGAAAAGTTTGATTTAAAAATTTAAAATGAATTCAGTTTTTGTCTTGATTCACTGATTTAATTGAATTTCACATTCATTGATCAACAAAATAAATCTGAACGTCAAGTGTTCTAGAGTATATCAGTAACTATAAGAGCAGCGGTAGCTGTTTAATCAAAATTTAATTCAGTAAACATGTTGTCTTGTTAAAATACTTATACTACATGTGTATTTTTTTTTTAAGTAAAAATACATGTGTAATACACATACATTGTAAACATTATACTGAAATAAATTGAATTATATAGGACTATATACATAAAAAACAAAATCACACTAACCTGTCGTTGTATTCTAGGTGTAGCAGTGTGTAGAAGGTTCAACAAATCAGTGAGTAGATCATGTTGCTGTGCAATATACTTCCTACCAACACCTGACCCACTCAGGGCTAGCACCATAGAGAGAAGCTCAAAGCAGTAACTGTCAGAGGACCTACAAGTTAACATCATTTTGTATACTGTATGAACACTACAATACTACCATATACAGTCATATATAACATACAGTAAAACTTGAACATCTTCGATACCTCCTTGTGTTTTACACTAGGGCATTTCACTTGATGGCTTTTGCTGCTCAGTGCTTGTGTATTTAATTTTGTTTTAGACTGACCCCCTATACATAAAAGAAAATTCAAAATATTGTTTATTCTAACAAATGTGAAATCATCTTTTGTCATATATCAGTCAAAATAACATACATATATTTGATTTTGTTATAGACCGACCCTTCTATGTAATAAAACATCAATAATTGTTGGGAAAGAGATCATCATCATACCTATCGTCCACATCATATGCTGGCGTACATGTCGTCAACAATGCCTCCCACTCTTCTTGTACTCGCTGTGTCTCCTTACGTATGGCCTGAACTATATGTGCACACACCTACAAAACAATTATACAACACCATATGTATTCTTGGTTTGTATTTCTTATGACTGGGTCTTCACGTAAAATGAGAAATTTTCTTGCTTTGTTTTGTAACACTTTTAGTCTTTTCCTTTGGCAATAAGAGACATCAAATCAATTTTTGCCGAGTTCTTTTTAAAACTGAGGACTCCCTTATTTGATATTTCAACTTTGACCTCTTGAATGTGGCATTGGCTGCTATTCGTTCAATAAAAGTTGACATTGAGGTTATGTTGAACTTTTAAATTATTTGTTTCATATTAGCTAGTTTTCTATCAATACACTTGCATCAATAAATGAGTTGGCCTTTATCCTTAATTGAGCTTACTATAATACATCAAGCACTTTTATATTTGACCTTTTACATCCGGATTAACCTAGATCATCCCATCTGGCTTTGCTAAATAAAATTAGTACCGTGGGTACTGGGCTCACATGGTGTTGCTCAAAAGTGAATGATGGCTAAAATGACCGATTTTTTGTAACAAAATTATTTCATACAACTACTCTTTACAAAGACATGGCTTTTTACAATGCAGGACACCTGGAATTATTCGTAAAGCTAGGAAAAGGGCCAAAAGTGAATTTCACAAGACAAAAATGGTGGCCATTTTGAAAATAGGTGAGCTTTTGAAGCAGGAGTCACAGGGGCTTTTACTTTATTGATGCTGAACAAAAATATTCTAAAACAGGAATCCTATCTACAGAGGATTTAAAAAGAGCCAAGTGTTGACAGACATTGGTTTTTAAACTTGCCACTATCTTGGACTGACTGAGAGACAGATGGACAAATCAATGTTAACTAAAATGGCTGAAAAGAAAAAAAACGGATATGATTTTTTGCCGATTTTTTGTTACAAAATTATTTCATACAACTATTCTTTACAGTGACATGGCTTTTTACAATGCAGGACACCTGAAATAATTTGTAATGCTAGGAAATGGGCCAAAAGTGAATTTCGCGAAACAAAAATGGCGGCCATTTTAAAAAAAATAGGCGAGCTTTTGAACCAGGAGTCATAGGGGAGTTTTCTGTATTGATGTTGAACAGAAATAACTTAAAACAGGAATCCTATCGACAGAGGTTTTAAAACGTGTCACTATTGTTGACGGAAAAGTGTTTTTTGAAAAGAGAGGAAATGGGTCAAAAATGAATTTCACGAGACAAAAATGGCGGCCATCTTGAAAATAGGCGAGCTTTTGAACCAGGAGTCAGAGGGGAGTTTTCTGTATTGATGTTGAACAAAAATAAATTAAAATGGGAATCCTATCGACAGAGGTTTTAAAACGTGCCACTATTGTTGACGGACGCACGGACAGACGGACAAGTGAATGATTGCAAAAGCTCACCATGTGAGCTAATGAGCCAATTTTTGACCTTGACTTGTTTTTTTGAGTTAAGATTCTTACATGACGGACCTTCAACCTTATATTTATTTGTCACCTGTTTCTGGAGATGAGTTGACCAGTCTTAAACCTTGTTTTCTATTTTTAATATTTTCATATTTGACCTTTAGATTGACCTTTGACCTCCACAGTGCCTTTCCACCTCACCTGTTTTTGTAGATGAGTCAGCTTACTCCTTGAGAACAATATTCCAACCATGTGTTCCTTTAGGTCAATCTCTCCCTCGTTCTTCTCTTCACCATCCACATCATCTAAGTTAACATCAGCAGGACCAGCCTCTTCAGGAATAAGTTTACCAAATACCTGATATAAGAAACTTCAAAATGAATGTCCATATTAAGAATTAATACCAAATAAACTATCAATACAACGGATTCTATAATTCTCATTCAGTTTTACATTCATTCTCAGGTATAAGCTTTCAGAATAAAATCTTGCAAATTAATGAAATCCAGGCATAATTAATAATCTATTTAAGGAATCATAAATATCCATTGTTGAACTTCTGTGTTGGTGACTTGCCTTACAATGTTCACAGCAAATGTTTTCAATTTCTGTTGGATTTATTAAAGGTAATGTTTGAAATATTTAAAACATGTTTAAACGGTGTACCCACCTGTGATGTTAGTAACCTGAATACTTTCAATGTTTCACTCTCACAGTTCTTCTTCTGGTAGTGTTGATCAGATAACTGTTTGGCTAGTAGAGTATTCTCCCCAGCTGGCTGACCTAGTATCTTAACCTACAATATTTTTCACAGATTACAAAGTATTACCAAATTGTAACTGTCGTTTCCTTGAATCTGCAGCAGTACAATTCAGAACAAAGGAAAACCAAATCAATGATAAAATACACTTGAAAGTGATATGAGTGTGGGTGTTTATCGGTTCACATAAGTTTGAAAATTCAGTGCCGTATTGTAAGAAAAATATCAAGTAAACTGTATGACTAGAATTCTAAATATAGCATGAACATATAACTTGTTTGAAAAATATAAGTACCATACCATGTCTCCTTTTTGTCATATATCATTGAAATTATTTTAAATAAAGAAAATAAAAAATACATGTATATATATCAATACCTGTCTGACTCTAAGGCTATTGTCAGGTCCCTTCATGGTGAGTTTCAGAACAGGGTAGTTCTCCTGGCATAAATTGCAGCTCACCCATCCAGTGAAGCGATTTTCTAAATCAACCTATAATTCAAATTTTTGAAACACATTATAAAGCCAAGTATTTGCCCCTTCATGGTGAGTTTCAGAACAGGGTAGGTCTCCTGGCATGAATTGCAGCTCACCCAGCCAGTGAAGCGGTTCTCTAGATTGACTTATAATTCAAATTATTTGAAACACATTATAATTTAACAAACTCTGAAATATCTGTCAGGTTTGCACAAAACCTAAAAATGTTTTTATTTTCTTTGGTTTTGAGTCCTTCACAAATCATTAATTTTTAAATCATACAATTAGGTGTGAAATGTTAATGACTGTTATACTACAGGGTGGGCCAAAAAAACACCACTTGGCGTTTTTTTTGGCCCACCCTGTACATATTTCATGATATCATACCTGTTTGATGAGGGTCATATCATCTGATGTCATCCCAAAGTGGAAGCCAATCTGGGTCACCTTGTTCTACAATTAAGAATAAGCTTGAGTCCAGTAGGATTTATTGTGGATTACTGTCATATCTACTTTTGCATTAATATATTGAAAAAAAAATTACATAATAATACAGTAAGTCTTAGATATCCCATATTTTCACCACTTATGTTTCAAACATGAAAACAATTACAAAAATCCTATTAAATATTTAATTTATGGAAAGTTCAACTAAGTTGTAACATCTATTCTAAGTTCGGGTAATACTATTAAGGGATTTTTTAAAATTCAAATGAACAAAGTCATGGGGCGTTAAAACTCTTCCTTACAGCTAGATCTCTAGAGTTGTCTATGTGCACATAAATAATCTTTGGAATTGATTCATTATTGAACGTGATTGTAATAGACTTGGTTTTGTTGCGATCTTCATCCCCGCTCTCCCAGAAAGTCTCTGTAGTGTTGTCTGAAAATACATGATCACAATGCAATTTTTGCCAAAGGTAGAGTCTTAGATGTTAATGTTAAGGGGACATCCAAAAACATCATTGAATGGTAAACTGGAATATAATTACATTTTGGCCATTAACTAAAATAAAGACGAGACTTAAAACAAGTAAGTCACACTTAATCTTGGTTTTAAATTATATTAAACTCATGTGACTTATAAAAGAATGCGCACACAACTAGAGAAAAATGTTTGGCATTATGTAATTTATTGTTCTACTCTAGGCTAACTAATAACAACAAAATTACAGGAAAATTGATTCATAGAATGAAATGAATCAATTACCCCCACCATCCGGAGAGGTTACATTGCATCGAAAAACAAACCATGTATGAATTATGGCACCGTGGTGGGGGGAGGGAGCCAAAAATTACAAGCAATATAGCATTATAACTAGCACATGTTGTCCACTGCAAGGACAGTAGCAGAATAAGCAGATAACAGCCAGACACAAGAATTTTACATAACAGTTGAAGCATGCAGGAAACATATGTTGACCTGGTGATGACCCAGGCTGTCTTGAGAAACCCCTCTCAAGTTTAAATTAATTTCACCATGAAATAATAATTAAACTCATGTGACTTATAAAAGAATGCGCACACAACTAGAGAAAAATGTTTGGCATTATGTAATTTATTGTTCTACTCTAGGCTAACTAATAACAACAAAATTACAGGAAAATTGATTCATAGAATGAAATGAATCAATTACCCCAGATTCCAAATACTCTACCTGTGAGACTGGCAATCATGGCTTGTCTGCTTGAGGCTTTGATGACAGCCTGAGACATGAGATCCTTCATCAAGTGGACCTGGATACCATTCTGTAATAAAGAACATTAAGATGTACTTGTGTATAATGGTAAGATACTTTTGCATTACTGTTATACCATTGTGCAATCTTGTGACACACTTGTATTGTATTGTAACAAACTTTAATGTATTGTAACATACTTTTATTGCATTGTAACATACTTACATTGTATTGTAACATACTTGTGCATTACTGTTACATACTTGTAACATACTTGCATTGTATTGTAACATACTTGTGCATTACTGTTGCATACTTATAACATACTTGCATTGTATTGTAACATACTTGCATTGTATTGTAACATACTTGTGCATTGCTGTTACATACTTGCATTGTATTGTAACATACTTACATTGTATTGTAACATACTTGTGCATTACTGTTACATACTTGTAACATACTTGCATTGTATTGTAACATACTTGTGCATTACTGTTACATACTTGTAACATACTTGCATCATATTGTAACATACTTGTGCATTACTGTTACATACTTGTAACATACTTGCATTGTATTGTAACATACTTGTGCATTGCTGTTACTTACTTGCATTGTATTGTAACATACTTACATTGTATTGTAACATACTTGTGCATTACTGTTACATACTTGTAACATACTTGCATTGTATTGTAACATACTTGTGCATTACTGTTACATACTTGTAACATACTTGCATCGTATTGTAACATACTTGTGCATTACTGTTACATACTTGTAACATACTTGCATTGTATTGTAACATACTTGTGCATTACTGTTACATACTTGTAACATACTTGCATTGTATTGTAACATACTTACATTGTATTGTAACATACTTGTGCATTACTGTTACATACTTGTAACATACTTGCATTGTATTGTAACATACTTGTGCATTACTGTTACATACTTGTAACATACTTGCATTGTATTGTAACATACATACTTAAGCATTATTGGAATACACTTCCGCATATAACTATGTCTTACTGTAACATACTTGAGGATATAACTGTGCATTAGTGTTGCATAGCTTTGCATTACTGTAACATACCTGTGCAATACTGTAACATACCTATGCAATACTGTAACATACCTGTGCATTATCTGTTGCAATGGAGGAGTCATCTCCTTCCTCATCAGACTTAGAGAGGATCTTACTGATGTTACTGAACACATGGGATTTATGAAGGAATGAGTGGTCAGCTTGGTTGAACTTTAAACAGTAACATCTCACTGCCATTTGCTGAAACACATATATATTTCCTTTAAACCGATACCTAGCACTGGTTCTTCCATAGATCTAATTCATTCAGTCAACCATTTGTATAATTATGAATTAATGCAATCTGTGAACAAAGAAGATATGTATTCTGCCTAAGGCTTTAAGGACTTTATAGAGACATCTCACTTGCATGTATACAAATGGACACATCATGATATCTAAAATGTTTGATTCTGTTTTTGTCTTAAAATTAAAATGATTTTCAATACAATTTTAGGGTATTGATGACGTAACTCTCATTTTACACTTTAATTCCCATTCCAAACATGACCAAGGTTATATTTGATTTAAGTATCCCATAATCCTTTTGGATCCGTCTGCATTTAGTTTTATAGAAAATTACCTGTAAACCACTACTGGCTGGCAGATGCATCATAACATCTGCAATTGTTTGAAGCAGAGTGTGAAATGCTGCTGGGAGGGGGTTGACTGCTTCACCTGCTATTGTGATGTCAGACAATGGGTGTTCGCACATTATAACATCTTTATCCTACAAAACAAATCACCATATTGAATTTATTCTAACAAGATATTATTTTTATTTTTCATGTCTAAATTGCTTTTCATGCAATAAACAATACCTACCTCTTTGGAAGAGAAAATACTGACAGGTTGTTTTGCTAGCTGCATTTGTAGATCTTCTTCCTGTTTCTCTTTCCCATCTTTTTCAACATCAGTCTCCTCCTGGTTGTCATGGGGAAGAGGCATAAGGGCGGAGACAAAGAACCAGAATAGATCATGGAAGCATGATGTCTGTGTGATACTTCTTATCAGCCAGTTCATTGCCTAGAAACACACAATGCACACTTTTAGTTACTTCCATTTTTGGAGGTGACATTGTAAACTCAAATACATGTACATATGTAATAATTATAATTCACATATAGCTAGGCAAGGTGTGTCCAATTCCAGCCAATCAGAATACACATTCTGTTATACATGGATAACCAATAACGAACTAAAGGTCACTAGTTGTCATGGTGATGACTGGACTCTGTAGACTGAAAATGATACAGCTTGACCATGGCAAAAAGTTGAATTGAGAATACATTCTTTTCGTGGTTTCGTATCTTTTAGATGATTTTGTAAAAAATATTTTGCCAGGTGTGAAAAGAGTTTTAGTCCAAGACTAAGTTAGTTGTGTAATGACCATTCCTTTCAGACGTTGTTTCCCAAAAGTAACACTAGATGCTCGGCATCTCGTGCAAATCTTGGAAAGCAACACCTTCAAGGAATGGTCATTCCACGTTGCATTGAGTCCAGGGCTTAAATCCTTAAATATAATAATACTTCAGAGACACACTAGGATCATATTGTCACAGAAATATGAGCATCAAGTTCAATAATATTTAACTTGAAATTTGAAATTAAACAAATAGGCATATAGAGTTCAGTGAAGCCCAAAATGATTTTCAGTGTGTTATACAAATACCTGAAAGGCATGAACCCTGCAAGCGGCCTTGCGTAGTCCTTGCCTCATGGCTAGCTGCAAAGCATCAAGGTTGTGACGTTGCACAATGAATGCCATAACAGGATTCTGATCACCTCTAGCTGGGCCCTTATCGGTGCTGCCCTCTATTAACTTTGTCATGGCAGCTGATGGATTTTTCAGCAGTGAAAGCCCACCATCTGAAATCGATTGAGATTCAAGTATAACAATACTAACACATTTTGAAGATAAATGTATGAGTGCAGTGCTCTCCCCAGGATTTTTTAATTGCAATATTTTAGAATTTTATGATTTTTGAGTGCATATATCTTAGGATTTTATATTTTAGGGTGTAACATTTTACAATTTTCTAATTTTTAAGGCTATAACATTTCAGGAGGAATGTTGAATTATTAGAAGAGTGTTTTGGTGTTGTAAATTAATTGCTACACACCTCAGCTCAGAAATTTCATTATGGGGAAAGCATTCGAGTGTACTTTTTGCTTAGCGGCACTCTTAGTGAATATTCTGTGAACTGATATAAAATTTAAGTTAAGGGCGGCACTCTTAGTGAATATTCTGTAAACTGATGTGAAATTTAATGACGGCACTCTTTGTAACATGGACTTTTCTCAAGCTTTATTTTCTCAAGCTTTAATTATAGCAAAATGCAGACATATCACAATGTACATCTCAAGCTTGTAATCAATCCAATTTGAGGTAAAATACTAGAATCATAAAGTGATGAAGAAAGCTGATGGTTTTAACACATGCATTATATTAATGGGGATTAAAGGCTCTTATATAGTACATTTTTTGAAACAATCTCAAATAATTCCTAACATTATATTACACAGCATCAATGAGAATTCATTGACATCAATTGACATCAATAAGGATTCATTGACATTGATAAGGATTCATTGACATCAATAAGAATTCATTGACATCATTAAGTATTCATTGACATCATTAAGAGTTCATTGACATCATTAAGAATTTATTGACATCAATAAGAATGCATTGACATCAATAAGAATTCATTGAAGCAAGACTCACAACCCGTGCAGTGTTTTCCCTCATTTTCAATTCTGACTGTAGTTAATTAAAACAAGCCAATATTTATGACTTCTGTCAGTTTCATTTGGGTGTGCATTGTTTATTTAGTAAAGTGGGTTTAAGTTTATTTTCCAAATCTAAAGTAAGTGCAGAACCCTTATTTTCAACACAAAGGTGATACTAGTCTAGTAGTTTATGTGTACCTTTATTAGCCCCCTTAGAGTCACCGCTGGTGTTCCTCCGCCTGCTACTAACAGGTGAACACGTGTTAGAATTCGATTGGCTGATAAAATTATCGTCGCAAGCAGTGCCATTTTTATCTAGAGACAGGGAGAAGGCACATAAACATCTCGATCACTGATCACAATTTTGCAAAGAAATCTTTCATTCCTGATATCAAGGCCATAGTTCAACAAATGTGCTCAACATTAAATATGCTCAATATGTCTATGTGCTTTCAAGGTGAACATGCAGGTGAATAAATTCTTTACATTTTGCATATAGCTATCAGAATCTTCAAATATGGAGGAATGAAGCAAATACAAAGAAATTCTCCAAATAAGCCTCAAATTTTACTTGTTGCATTTCATTGCTTCATGCCTCCAATATTGAAGAGCCTCATGGTACATGGAGCATGTAAATAATAGGAGCATGTAAATAATAATCTTCAATGAATAACATGCATGTAATAATTAGCAGAATGAGATGCATATACATAGTTACAACAACATTGACTGATTAAATAATAATATGCTATAATTAATCAGACTCTGATGATATTTCACCAGTGGATTGATGAACAAATGAATATAAGCAAATTGAGCATAATTTATCATATTAGAAATAATGGTTGTGTAAGCTTAAAGTTAACATGCAAAGCGTGTAAATATAAAATATATAATCATTGTTAGATCTAGTTACACTGAAGAGTATTGTAAATAAAGGAAACAAGTCTTGAAGAGGAATTCTGTACTTGCATACATGTATTTCTATAAGGAAATCAACATAAAATGATTTTTTTCTACAAAAATGACAATAGATGTCAGCACTTAATACCTCCAGCTCCTCCACTGTTATTTCTACGTCGTGGATTAAATGGCCGATTGTTGTCATTGATATTGTTCTCAGCATATTCAGACACGCTGCGTGTAAATATCACCTTCTTCATTGGTTCCTCAGGGCTGGTTCCTGCACTCTTGGGGAGAGGCTTTAAAGGGACAGATTCTCCATCCTGGGGGGTAGGCGGAGGCGTCTCCTAGTACATTAAAAAATTAGAACTAGCAATGCATTCTTGATGGGAAATTGTTACAATTTTAACACTCAACGTGAGAATTATTTTCAGACTAAATAAGAAATTTCAGCTCAACACAGGACTATAAAATCCAAACTTGTTAAAAATTAATTTTGACCAACTATTCTCAAAACATTTATCTGATTGGTTTTAACTGTTGATTCTAAGATGTGTGAATTTCAGTTCAGATAAAGACAAGGCAGAAGATTGGTTTTGAAACAAAATGAAAACTAAAACTTGCAATAGATGAACAATTTCTTCATGAGCCAAAGTACTGAAATATTACCTGTGATTTTGACATTTTACAAGATCTGTTCTTGAACTCTTGGCTCCCAACTGACATTCCCCTGTGAAGGATGTGGCTCAGGTCTGTCCCATGTACTGATGACCTCTTCTGATGACCTTGACCCTCAATAGAGTCTGACCTTCAAACAGAATCAAAACATATCATTTTTGAAAATGTACATACAGTATACTGACGAATTATTATCAAGGACAGGAAAATCAAATATCAAAGTCCAATATTATAGATTTCTTCTTTGAATTCATGAAATCTAAAATATTGGAGAATAAAATTGGATTTTCTTTGTATCCACACAGAAATGAAAGCAAAAATAAAACACATTTTTATAGAAAATCAAATCTAAAATTATAATACACTATGCATTCAATAACTAACTTTTGAACTAAGCAACTTATTACAATAGTTTATGACATATAAAATAATGATAAAATAAAGGCATGAAGCAAATAATTAAACATCAGCAAATAATAATTGGCCTTTATGATTATACGGGCTTGAGCAAGCTATTGGTAGCACTTTCATATTGGCACCCAGAAAAAATGCAAGGCTTAAGATACAGATGGGAAATCAGTCTTATTAATTAGGTATACCCACTATATATCTGAGGAAGATATCATTTTTTTGAAAGATGAATGATAATTTTTTTATAAATTTTCATGTATCAAAATATGCCTTATTCTCTAGGCTATGTAACAAATTCCCAAGAAAAAATCCACATTTACATATATACTTCAAGCATGTACTTGAAGAGAGTAAGTTAAAGTAATTTGGCTGCATTGGAAAGATTAAGGAATTTGCTTTAAAATGATATGCAACAAGTGTGTCCATAATAGTGTATAGAGTTTTTATAACCGCTTGTAGCACACAACCGTTGGTGTAACATTTCATTGTAAATTTTATGTTAAAAAAGACTGAATTTTTCAACATATTTTCCAATCTTTGCTTACAGTTTTTTTAAGATGATATCAAAAGTACGGAATGTTAAAATTCTGTCACTAAAAAAATTATAGAAAAGGCTGTAGTGGTACCTGAGATATTGGCTCTCAAAATAACTAACTGATTTTCCGACACGCAAATGTCTTTTCCGAAGAGCATGTGTATTTTAAGACTGAAGTAATATGATACCCTAAAAACTTTTTTAAAACAAAATGCATTTAGTTTCTTGAATATTCAAAACTAATAAATAGCTTTGAACTGTCATATATACCTGTAAAATCAATTTTAAAATTCCGACACAAGAAAAAAGTCCTTTCCGAAGAGCTCTTCGGAAAAGACAAACTCTGTCAAAACAGTGCATTTACCAACAATATTGAAGAAAAACACACTGGAATATATTTTCTGATGAACTTTTATACATAAAATATCTTTACTGAAGTAACTAAGACTTAAACAGGAACTACAAAAGTAAATGTGTCCTTTCCGAAGAGCAATTCAGTCTCTGATTAGGAATGCTGTATTGGATGTCTATAACTAACTTTTCTACTGATGTATAAAGGCATTAGCACAATGTTTACAAATATTACATTGAATCTTGATTTGAACAGTACTGTAAAACCCCTTAAAACACTCAAGTGTAAAATTGCAAATGAAGAATGCCGCAAATATAAAATTGTATCTTCATCACTATTTTTCCTGTGATAATAGGTTCAATTCACTGACAATTACCACCAACAATTGAGTCGTTTCTGTGCATAATGCTGTTTCATAGGCCTACATGTCCCCAGCCCAGCAACTAAAAAACTACAAGTACATTCATGATAGCCTTAAAGTGATGACTTTAATGATGTTTTGCCCTATCATCGCCCATATATTTACCTATGAAAAATCACAGTTAATGATGTAATCAGTGGTAAATCTCAAAAACATGAATACATGAATAGAAACAAATGTACAATCTCCGAAAATTGCTCCCTCTATTTCAATCTGTTAAACAGTATTTAGCAATACACTAAAAAATGTCCTTTCCGAAGAGCTTTGGACAAGTGTAGTTTCGTCATATGGTACACATATATACTATCATGATTGTCTCATATATAATCAAACATTATTAAGGACTTTGTAATGATTCAGACAGAAGGAAAAATCAACAGGATATTCAACATTATTAAGTATTATCGTAATTGGAAAAATGATTGAACTTTTTTGCCGAAATCACGGGCCAAGTGACGAGATTGGTCTTCCTAATTCATTTCTATGATAAGGATTCAGATAAAAACTATTAGTTATTTAGAACCATATATGTGCATGCTTTAAAACAAAAAATGTGGAACATATATTGAAACTTATATATACCCTTTATAATTGCAATTATGTGTGTGTCCTTTCCGAAGAGCCAAAGTTGGGGCTTGTAATATCATCCTGATTTTTTCAACATCGATGCAAAAAGTTATCTCCGGGTCAATAAAAAATGAAAGGTAAGACATTAAGTAAAATTATGATTCAGGAAAATGTTTTCTTCTAGCAAGTTTGAAAATCCACTTCTATGGGACTAAAAGTGCTACCAATAGCTTGCTCAAGCCCATACAGGGTGGTAAAAAAAACGGCAACCCTAGATTTTTCAAATATCTTTGTCATTCTAAGAAATAACTCCCTGATATTTTACACATTTGTACATCATTCCATTTCCTACCAACCTACCATATTTCTTGAACATCGGACTGATAGTTACAATATTACTGCATTTTAAACAACATGCCCCAGATGGCCACTTTCGGGCTGTCTGAGCTGGTCTGTTATTCAAATGAACTCCATTTTTACCACTACTTACTTACTCAAGTTTTACCACTTGAGATGCTGAAGGATGTAGGAATGATATAATTAAATTGGCAATGAACTCACAATTTTTTCACTTGGCACCTTTTGAGGTGGATCCCGGCTATGGCATTAATAGTTGAGAAATAGGGATCGAAACCAGCCATAGTTTTCTCCTGATGACCATTGTGAATTGTTGTGTTTTATGGATTATGATGACGGCTTTGCGAACGGATGTTGACCCTTTGAATTGCCTATGGACTTCGAGACTGGATTTTATCTATCCTACATCATTTGAGACTGAATACTCTATCTTTTATGAGTACTAGTATCTACAACTATTTTTGATGTTATGAGTATTGGCTATCAATTTTTTCAATTTTTCTTCAACATGTATTGTAATGACTTCAGTATGAATGAAATGTCCCTTGGTGTTCTGGTCCTGGATTGTGATATTGGTTCTCGATTGGAGGGGGGAGGGGAATGTTAGACATTGTTTCTTTTCACATTAGATTATGGTTTTGGGATATATAGGGTCTACTTTTCTTATGACAGATTTACACTTACAGTTTGCTTTTCTTGTTGGGTTTCTTTAAAGTTTTTAGTCACCCTTCCCTTTGGCATTTGTGCTTATATATCCAACTTGATGCACTGGTAAACTCTAACAATTATGTATTCTTGGGGAACCAAGCACTTGATGAAGTAGTGGAGAGGCACCTTCACACAGATGCACAGTTTAGTGTGTTCTCAGGAGATAGGGTCCTTTACCTTTGATGATATCAACGGATATGCAATAACTGTCAACATCTCTCTATTTTGTGATCCCCATGGAGTTCTTGAGGACTTTAGGTGAACCCAGAGGGGATAGGCAGCAACAGCGGTTCCAACAAGACAGAACCATACCCCATACACCCAATGATGCACAATAATGGCTTTGGGACCACTTCAATGACCACATTATCAGCAGTACAACAGACAATGAATGGGCACCCCATAGCCCAGATATGGCCCCATTTAATCTTTACCAATGGGGATACCCCAAAGACAGAACGTAGGGTAATAACATCAGAAAAACTGTTGACCTCAAAATAAAGATCACATGTCTCGGTCAGGCCATACTTCCTGAGGAATGCAGTTATGTTATTGACAGGTTTGAAAAATGTGTGCAGGTTTGCCTACAGCACATATTGGAAAATTGGGGCACCTTGTTTAAAGTGCTTTAACATTGCGACTATCAGTCCAATGTTCATAAAATAACACAGTCTAGTATGAAATTGAATGATGCACACGTGTGCCAAAATGACAAAGATATGAGAAAAAATTAGGGTTACAGTTTTTTTTGACCGTAGTATTATCAAATAATAATTAAATGAATCAAAGTGACACCAAATAATGGTTCACCTGAGCTCCAAATTAATTTAAATATGGGAGACACAGAACCAAAGAATTACAGGTAAACATACTTTTAATAGGACTACCAAACCAAAGATGCATGCTACAGGTGTATTGGGGCAAATAAAACACAACATAAATCTGATTTAATCATTTAAGGATCGAAGTCCTGTATCTATAAACGAAGCTATGACTGCTTAAAATCATCACCTGCCTGGAATACATGATTATTTTTCATAAATTAATGTTTATAAAAATATACCTAGCATTTCGTTCAGTGCAATCTTATGCAACCAAAAATTTCATATTCTCAAATAGTAACATCAACAGTTTGGAAAAACTTAGTTAATTTTGTTATGGTTTGATCCTCCTACCCTCATCTTACAATCTAAAATGTTGATCTGTCTTTCACTAGAATACTTTAATTAAAGAATCAATACTATTCACTAACAAAACCATCATTTAGCCCCTTCCCCTAATGAAACTAACTTTGTCATTTCATAACTGTTGATAATTGGATGCTATACCTAAGCATCGTGAAAGGTGGAGGGAAAGTATTGCAACAGATTTCGGACAGTCATATGTTGGATTTTGGCTATTTTCTTAGGATTTAAACCACCTTTCAATATATTACAGAAATCACTGGCTGTTTCCAGATTGGGATAATGTACAAAAAAAACCTATAAAGGCAATCTTATTTTTTCAGAGAGAAATTGTCATGAAAGCTTCCAAGGTTATCAAAAGTAGGGATTAAAACATATACACGTACTAGATAGCTTTTCATATCTTTTTCCAATTTAATTCCTTTAAAAGCGTATTGGCAAGCCTAACATATTTTATACAGCTTCATTAACTTGGTGCTTTATACAATGGGGTCATAATTAACCCATAATTAACCAATAGCTCCGAGTCTTTCCTATTTACTTCAATACACAGCTAACCAACCTTTCAAGGCATACATTTTGCAGATAGCAATAGTGCTTGGGTGCAAGTGATTCAGTTGCAAGTGATTCAGGTGCAAGGAATTCAAGTATGATACTAGTCATGTCAATAGTCTGCTAGAATATTGAAAGACTACAAAAACTTTTGGCAAGACATTTTTCTTCTCTATATCTACAATTATCAATTTAGTAACGTTGGTACATATTGTTCCTATATATACCAATCTGAACTTTATGTATGCCTGAAAAGTTTACAAGCTCTGTATTAAGCTTAAGATTCCCAATAGACCTACCATCTTCTTACTTTATCGCTTTTATCACCATTTCTAAAATATAATTTAAAATTCAAAGGATTCAGGAGGGGTGCATTCAGACTTAGTAAACTCACAATGATTTCATGGATTACATCATATGACATGCAATTTACATTCAGGGGATGGAGTTTGGGACCAGGGGACTAATGGCCTGGGGACTGAGGCCAAGTGACTGAAGGGCCATGGGGAACTGGGAGTCTTGTATTTCCTCATACCCATATTTCCCCCTCCTCTTTCCTGTCAGTGGGATTATATTCTCCACATATGGTTTTCCAGCTAAGTCATAGGTCAGGCTCATTCTAAAATTCATTATCATTTCAAATGAAAAATGAAACCTTGGAAGGTATCTTATTTAACAGGTTCAAAAATGATGAAAAGGGGCTCCAGAACATACATGTAAAATGCGTTGTAAGATCAGGGCAAGAAAATCAATTATAATCAGGATGTATTGAAGTGGTGAAAGAGTACATAAAAGGAAATAAAGATGTATGGGTGTTGAGGCTTTTTCGCATTCAAGAATATCTAAAAGGATAATGCTAAAATACAAAATATAGCTTAAGGGACAGTATTTAAGTTATCTTTGATGGCTTCAAATGTGAAAATATTGCAGGAAATTTATTTTGATTCTCAAAGTAATGAAAACCTGCTAATAATTACAATAAAAGTTCAATTCAAGGGGAATCTCCCCGACCTAGAAGTCACATTTGCAAAGAAAATAAATTTCCAAAGTTGATAAACTCTTTTCAAAACCATATTTCCAGATGTAATTTTACATGTAAATGACGTAAATCAAGATAATTTCTACTTGCATTTAGTCTATTGTGATAATTGTGTCTTCAAGATGTGCAAAATTTCAAGCTTTGTTACATGAATGAAAATCAGTTTTCTTGCTATTGCACAATTCAAAACAAAAGGTATGTATATAACAAATATATTTTAAAGATTTGCTTAAATAGGAATTACATTTCAAGGCAAGAGTATGAAGTAAAATCATGTAATAGATGAAAGATACACATACATAAGGGTTATGTACTGGGAGGTTTTGGATACAGGTTTTATCCCAAGGGAAATATGTGTATATCCCAAGGGACCGCAGGGAACGAGGGATATACACATATTTCCCGAGGGATAAAGCCTGTATCCAAAATCGACCGTACATAACAGATGTATTTCATACCTACTGATGTTCTAGGTACGTCATATACCTTATAAAGTTCCAAAATTAAAAAATATACTTAAGATACGCATTTTCTTGGTGTTATAAAGTGTTTTTTAAGTTTCTGAGATTTTCAAACTCATATAACTCATATTTTGAAAAATAAAATTTGAAAAAAATGTGAAAAAAAATTTGAAAAAGAATGTGAAAATTTTTTTTGAAAAAATGGGAAACTTTTTTTTGGAAAAAAAAATTTGAAAAAAATTCAAAAAAAATGTGAAAAAAGAATTTTGAAAAAAAATTTCAGGAGCGGGACCGGGATGGATACAGCGTGTATCCATCCCGCCCCGGGCCTTGGCTAGATACAGTATATATTCCCGCTCGTTATGTACCTAGAACCTCAGTAGGTATGAAATACATGTAGATTTACATAGATGTATAATCCAACAGCAAACAGTGGTGTGCAGAGAGATATTGAATGACAAAATTGCAGAGTAAATATTACTGCACAATTTTGTCATTCCACTTTCAAATTACTACATGAAGAAAAAGATAGTCACAGACTAAATCTACAACAAACTTACATTTACATACAAAATATTCTGAAGTATAGAATATTAAAGGTGTGGACTAAGTGGAGGGTGCAGATACATGATGGCTTATACAAGAGGTAAGGAAAATAGTTAACAACTCACCTTTTGAATGGTATCCTTGCACCATCAACAATGACCTCATCAGCAAATGCTGAGTCAGCATTATGCGCCCCTTGTCGTACCAGGTAAAGAAACGGGACAGACTGAAATGGGCAATTCTCTGAGATGCTTTCCAGCTCATTGACACTGGGGAGGATCCATCCTGAATCTTGGCGTATCGGATGCATCGGGTGTTTTGGAGACTGTTGGGAAGACACTGGGAGACTAATCCCCGATGCACTCGCAAGCTCCAACAGAAAGAGGGCGTTGTTTTTCATTATGATGTGTGGTTCCGCATCATTGGGAGTGACGGGTGATTGCTTCAGCTGTATACTTGATTTCCTCCGTACTTTTTTCACTTTTTCTTTACTTGTTTGTTTTTTCTCACGGATGTATTTATCCCGGCAGTATTTACATAGAAGATACCAACTACTGCCACCTATTCCCCCATCACCACAGTTCCCCGCCCATCCATCGCAGTAATTGCCACTACTGTTGTACCCTTGACCCCCAGCATGATGACCACAACCTGCATGTGACTGCCGCATATGGTACGTCACAGGGTGGGGGTAGGACCCCCCACAAAGCTCACAGATCGTCTCTCTACCATTACCCAGCATCCCACCTGCTGCTTCCCCGAAAAGATTTCCCCGCAGTCCATTTCCAGGTTTGTCCTTCTTCTTACGGGCCTTCTTGTCGCGATTCTTCGCATCATTGTCCTTTTTCTCAATGCGTTTACTTATTTTAGCATTTACAGCTGGGCTAGGCATGATAATGTTGTCCTCTATGACACGCATGGTCGACTCAGACATTTCCTCCCAGAACGATACAAGATGTTGTAAAGTTGGTGGAAGTTTTGAATCCTTCGTACCATCTTTTGCCAATTTTTTCTCAAGCTTCTTTACACGAGAGATATGACTTTCTGATTTGTGTCTCTCCTTATTCAGCTGAATTAAGGGATCAGAGGCTGACTGTGGGAATCTATCCTGGTTCTTTAAGGCCTGTACTTTGTTTAAATTCTGATTAACTGTTTCCGCAGAGCTTCTTCTTTCATCCATCCCGAGTTTCATTTTTGTAACAAACGTCTTAAACTCCTTTTTCAAATTCGGGTGGAATTTCAAAAATGAAGCACATGCCATCGCATCATGAACTATTCCCTCGTGCCATAAGAATGCAGCAAACACTGCACGCATGCATTCTGCACTTGATGGTGATAACGCTTCTTTTACAGCCTCTTTCTGAAATGACCCCGACCTTGACCTTGTAGCAGGTGACCCATGACCTCTTGTAGAGGGAGATCCTGTCCGATCACGACGACTTCGTAGCGATGACCTTCGACTATCCTTACGTGACAATTTTGGTGACATCCTGAAATTGAAGAAATTGTGTAAACGTTGAACCAGAAGAAATTAGACATCATAAAAAATGCATTTTTATTCCAATTTATTGCTCAAACCACAAAGAACACTTTATTGTCCAGATTTTCTGAAAGCGACCCCATAAATGAGCCTTAAAATCCCATGCAAAGTTTGAATGTTTTTAACTTTATGTGGGGTCTATGAACTTGGGCTTAGTGGTAACAAACCTGAGAGGAGCTTCCTCTTTAGGTGATGAGCTGCCTATACTGAAGTGACCTGGTTGACCAGGTGGGCCTGGCTCCTGGGCTTTAACTATAGCTACTGCTTTGCTAGGGCTGCCAGACATCCTGTTTGGGCTGTAAGAAAAATAAAGGTCAAAGAGTGAAAGAAAAATTCATGCTGATTTTCTTATATTTCTGCAAATTGAAAACAGTGTTTGCAATTTTTTGTTATCTATACAATGGATTCTACAGTTATCATTTAAAATAGATATATATAATCAAGCAAAATGTAAAATTAAATTACCTGCGTGTTGGTGACTCAAACCTAGGACTTGTGTGGAGGTCACGTCGTGACAGAGGAGGTGTCTGAGGAGGTGTTGAGAATGTCCCAGAATCCTTTCTCTGTGGTGGTGTCCCAGGAAGCCTCACTGGAGATGACCTCCCTGACCCTAGACCAGGTGACCTCGACCTTGGAGAGCCAATATTAAGGTCATTTAGGGGACTCTCTCTACGTGGGGAGGCAGAGGTGAATGGCTCCCTCCTAGGACTACCAGGGGGCAGTGCTGACATACTTGACCTTGGTGAACCTGAAATTCATTTCGAGAATTGAATAATAAAACTTGTTAATTTGTCAGTATCTACTCGTATATATTGATAAATTTATATTTTTCCATTCCACTATCTTAATACAACCTTTAGATGAAGTTGAACAAATATTATGAATATTTATTTTATAAATTAATTTTAATGTAAGAGATATATGAAATGTCCCTGGGATCAACATTTGTTCAGTGTAAAATAGTACTCTGGGCGGAAGTTCGCTGGGGGTCTTGAAAAATTGAATTTACATTGAATACATTGAATAAATTGAATACATACGTTGAATGGGCATAGGACTAGAGCTCCTAGGACTAGAATTTCTGGATGACTTCTTAGGTGTTCCAGGGGGTGTCATTGGAGGTGTAGCACCATTACCATTAGCCCTGCTCTCTCCTATGTATTGTCAAATATATTAGTGACATAATATACAGTATACAGATATTTAAACTACATGTACTTGAGAAGCAATTTACACATGTAGGATATTGACATGAATGAAGGGCTGTTGTTAAAATATTTTAAAAATCAGTTTTGTAAATTCCATTGATGTAAGTGAATAAGTATGGCATGAATTGGAGGATTCTCCCTGTAACACCATTGGCATTATTAATAATTGTTCCAAAAAGAACAATTTTTGTAAAAACTTCCTTGAGCTTCTCCAAGACTAGTCTGTTAGGTTTGTCACTTATCTCTCTTATGTATGGTGCTATATTTCATGATTTATCAATTAATCATCCTCCTAAGCAGGTATCCAGAATCCATACTTCCTTCTTCCCCCTGCTATAACCAATTTGGAAGCACCCGATTAAACTGAATCACATGATCTAATTATGCGCAATGACTTATACATGATTTCTGTTGCAGAGTTGCGCAGCCAATCAGATTGCGAGTTCTTAATCAGGGAAATGCTAACTGCTTATCGCAGGGGGTAAGAAAAATTATATTCTGGATTTTGAACCTGTGATCGGAGGATGTCATTTAATCTGACCCAAACAATCAACCTAAATAATAATGGCAAAATAATATATATCAGCCAATCAAAAAACAATATGAATATCATAATCATACAAATCTAAACATGGTACAGGTGACCCATAGTTCAGTTAAAAGTTATTACGACAATTTGACCAAATGGGCTTATCTGTCCATAGTTGAGAATGGGTATTTGTGGGTCCAACTAAAATGACTGGACTCATAGGTGGTCAAACTTCATAATGAACATTCATAATCCCATATTGCGATTCACCGACTGTGACCCACTTTCAATTTAGCCTGCATTGATTCAACCTTCAACCATTCTACCACTCTATCAACTACCTTTCAATATAATAAGCTAATCTGAAGTGCGTCATACAGATTTATGACATATTCCTCAAAAGTGGATTTTTCAGCCCAGTTGAAGTCAAAATCAACTGGTGAAGAATGATATTAACTGACTCCAGGTCTCTTTGCCAGTGTTTATGTTACAACCCTAAGTAAGCATTAGAAGAATTTGCAACAAGCTTGATATAAAGGGTAGAGATCTCAATTTTCAACACCATTCGTATACAAACAATGATATATTACTACATACAGGGTGGACCAATTAAAATTAATTAAAAAGTTTGAGAGACCTGGTACTCTACCTAAACACAGCAGAACCATATTGCATAATATTGCAATGTTTAGGTAAAGTACTAGGCCTCTAAAAAGTTGACATTCTTTTGCCCAACCTGTGTACAAACATATAAGTATATATCAATCAAAGACAACATCTAGTCAAAGCTGTATTCTAACTGGACATTTCTTGTAAGAATCATGGATTTCCAGTTTCTGTAATTGACCAAAAGAGGAAAAGAGTAGCTGAACACAAGTTGTATTCAATATTGTTTTTCATGCTTTATTCATGTCAACATCAAGAATCTGTATTCAATAATTCTTACAAAAATTTCACCAATACAACATCCATATTCTAACTAAAAATGACAACGGCTTTGCATGTAGTGAGAAAGTATATTTTAAAAATGTGCAGAAATATATTTAAGAAAGCACTAGCTAATTATTACGACACTTAACCCACCTATCAACTTGATCAGCTCCTTCACAGAAACTGATTTTACTTCCTTTGATAGGCTCCTCCCCCTTCCTAGGGGGTACGTGCGATATTCAGATACCATAATATTTGATTCTTTCATCGGGAAATTTTTGAGAAACTCGTCATGCTTAACTTTTCCTATTTGGTAAATATATATGGTAGACAGTTTTAACAAAAATATGTATGGTATATTCATCAAAATAAATCAAAACAATTTGTGTACATTATGTATCGTGGGCTTATATTGAATATTGTATTAAAAATGCACCATGTGCTTGCTAGAGGCTCCATGGGGTTAGTAAAATCAATTCAAAATGTGTCAACATTTTCTACACATTCAGATTAGTGAAACAATATAACATGAATTCATTCATTTTAGTCACTCCAATTAACAGTCAGACTGCATTCATATGTATCGGTACATTCCTATCTTAATGGAAGTTTAGCTCTAGCATTGATCTCTGATTGGTTCACAAGCAGCCAACATTTACAAAAACTGGTTTCTGATTGGTTCACAAGCAACCAGCATTTATAAAAACTGATTTCTGATTGGTTCACAAGCAGCCAGCATTTATAAAAACTGAACTCAGATTGGTTCATACTCAGTACTATTTGACATCAGTTACCAAATTGTGTACAGAACTTTTGAATCATCAATTCTTTTTGCTCATTCCAAAATCAAGAATTTTTAATTCTAAATAACATTCGGATGGCATGAACTTTCTTTTCTCCAAAATATTCTCCTTAACAATTAGTTTATCAACATGAAAATGTTGAATGGTTTTTGAGAATATTTTATTTTAGAATATACAATTACAAAAGGCATGAATTTTCTCACAAACACCCTTACCTAGAGCTTTGACTAGTTCTTTCACAGATACGCCCTGTAGTTCTGGGGGTAGATCAGAATTGAGGCTCTCTTGCCTCTCCAGTGTCCCCCTGGGGCTGAAAAGGGGGGACTCAGAGCTGGAGCCTTTCCTGGGGGAGGAGGAGAATGAATGCTCACTAGGGGATGCTGATCCTACAAGAATGAAGGTAAATGTCAAATACATGTACTCAAAAGGAAAATATATATAAAGGATTTCACTAGGATAGCAAATGGTTATTGTATCTTATTGTATTCAGGTATGACACATTAAATAAAAATAAAAATAAAAGATTACAATAAATGTACAATGATACAGCAAGAGAATCAGGAAGGTATGAGTAACTGCATTGTCTTTTAAAACTCACCTGTAAAGTTCACATGGAATAAATGAACAGTTGACAGTTGGCTTTCTGAATGAATTAACTTCGTCAACTATGGATTTGTTAGTGGTGATAAACAATTATATCAGATCATGGGGGAGAAAGCTATAAACCCAAGGGGGACTACCTTACTATGAGGGAGTATATGAAACTCCTAAAAGAGACACACATTTTGAGAGGGATCATTTTGCTCATGGAGAAAACTATTACTCCAGAGCTTAACCCCCCCAGGATTCTACTATACTTGCTACAATAGAAACTATGATAGTCTTGAAGAGATACCCTGGGGAGATCATAATTTTCATGAGGCAGATTGACTTACTCCTAAAGGAGAAAACACACCTCTGATGAAGTCATATATGTTCCTGAAGGAGATTGCCTTACCTGGGAATCTTGGAGAGTCTATACTGGGTGACCTAAAATCCTCTGCTAGGCCAAACCTGACCGTCTTGTGAGTCTCATGATCACTTTCACCAAATGACGACCCGAATGATGCACCACTACCATATTTGGTATCAAATTGTCCAAATGCGGGAATCTGGGGAATTCCTGGTGCTGAAATGGAGAATGTATTTTTAAGAATTTTAATGTATGATTGCTGAAGATATCTAGACCCTACAAAACCTACTTCAAACTCTTAATGCAAAACCTGTTTTTGCATTAAATTGTTAGAAATCTAGGCTCATTAGAAATATAAACATATGATATAAGATTATAAATGATTATGAAACAAAATGTAATTAATTAAAAGAAAATATGATTAAAACAGTTTTACATTTGGATAAGGTAGATGGGTCTTATGTACAGCATATAAACAATATGAACTAATTAACAGAAACTAAAAGAGAACTGTCTTCAAAGATGCTACATAAGAGAATGCAAACTACACAAACAAATCAAAGGATTGCACATAATGGTAGATTAAATATGTGGGTAATTTGGCGGAATGAGTCTGGCTTCTTTTATGAATATAACATGTTTTAAAACAAAAACATGTTAAACAAATATAAAAGCTGTTAACTCGAAACAAAATACAAGAACTAACATGGGAGATGCAAATATGTAAATTTCAAGCAGTCTCTTGAGGTAAAATTATATTGTTGGTGGTGACATAAAAACTAGCTATTCTAATAGCCCCTCCTGGACACATACGAAGACTGAGGTGCGAACAATACGATACAATATGGTACACGAAAGCATTCCATTTTTACTAACAAGGTATAGAAATATCAGAAAATCATATAGTTAGAAGGGTGGCTTAATCAGAGAGAAAATGTATTAAACCAGAACAACGGCAACGCCAAAGCGTAGCGAATCCCATCGAACAGAAATGGCTGGCATTTTTACAAACGAATAGCAAATATCATAAAACAACACACATAAGAAAGGCCACCATTTTCAAAATGGTTGCTCACTAGCCAAGTTGTCATCAGAAGAAATAATATGCTTTTCAGTAGCCACCTCTAAAATTTTTGAAAAATCGCACACGTACTTGTAAAATAACACACATAACAAGAACACAAATGTGTACAAAATGTCCCCACCAATGGGTGATCCCATCAAATGGTTATCCTGAAAATGAGTAGACAAGACTTTACCAACACAATTTTAATTGATCCGTCACACAGTTAACTAGAAAACATGTAAACAAGACTTTACAGACAAGATTTTAGGATGGAAAATCCAAAATGGCTGCCTTGACATTTATCCAGAATGTCAAAAAACTAATCTGTTCCTAGATTTTCATACTAAGAATCATCCCTGAAAATATGACATTGATCTACCAAATGGTTCACCTGAAAACGCGTAGACAAGACTTTACAGGCAAGATTTTAGGACAGAAAATCCAAAATGGCTGCCATGACATTTACACAGAATGCAAAAAAACTAATCAGATGTAGATTTTCACACTAAGAATCATCCCTGAAAATTTGATATTGATCTACCAAACGGTTCACCTAAAAACGCGTAGACAAGACTTTACAGGCAAGATTTTAAGACGGAAAATCCAAAATGGCTGCCTTGACATTTATCCAGAATGCCAAAAAACTAATCAGATCTAGATTTTTATACTAAGAATCATCCCTGAAAATTTGAAATTGATCCACCAAACGGTTCACCTGAAAACACGTAGACAAGACTTCACAGACAAGATTTTAGGCCGGAAAAATCCAAAATGGCCGACAATAAAAAAGTGATTATGTGTTTTTGCTGATTTCTTCTTACAAAATTATCACATATTACTACTGTTAACAATAACATAGGCTTTTACAACAAAGTAGATCTGAAATTATTTATAAAGCTACTAAATAGTTAAAGTATGAAAACTCACAAACACCATTCAATATGATACAAAGTATTATCATGCGCTAACTTTTCTTAAGACATTCAAAATGGCTGACATGACTGAGCTAACAGGTCCAAAACCTAATCAGATCTAGAATGAAGTGAGCTGAACAAGATTTTAAGTTTTAAAAGCAACTGTGAAGCCGTTTTTCTTAAAGTTTGCAGACAAGGATTTTAGCATTTGACTTCAAAATGGCCGACAGGAAGTAGGTATCGAGTTAAAATTTTTTCATCCACATCTGTATGCACTCATAAGTTATCCCTGAAAATTTGAAGGTGATATCTGTAGCGGTTTTGGAGAAAACTCCCGGACGTACGGACAGACGGACGGACGGACGGACGGACGGACAGACGTACGGACGGACAGACAGACGGACGCGCCTAGGCCGACAATATGGCCCCACATTATGTGGTGGGGACATAAAAATGGTGGCCATTTTTCAAAATGGCCGACTACTCCCCAAAGTTTTATTAGAAAATGTGCCATTCTTAAAGTATTCACATATCAAATATGAACAAAATTGCTCCACTACTTTTTGAGTTATAGTAAAATACGTTAAAATGGCGGCCATTTTTCAAAATGGCCACCTTCTACCAAAAGTGTCATTAGAAATAGACAGTGTGCCATGCTTATAGTATTCACATACCAAATATGAACAAAATTGCTCCACTACTTTTCGATAATAATAGTAAAATACTTTAAAATGGCGGTAATTTTTCAAAATTCTTTTCAAAATGGCCGCCTTCTACCAAAAGTGTCATAGGACAGTGTGCCATGCTTATAGTATTCACATACCAAATATGAACAAAATCGCTCCACTACTTTTCGAGTTATAGCAAAAACCGTAAAATGACGAGTAAAGGCCACCATTTTTCAAGATGGCTGCCATGTGCTTCTTTAATATCTACATTTTTAGCATTATTAATGTCCTTTATAATTTTTTTACATTTAAAACATATTGCTATAACAGTTTTACATATTGCACCTAAATTACTGTAAAATCGGCACTAAAATGGCCGCCATTTTGAAATGAGCAGCCATTTTGAAAATCGGCTTTCGAGCAGAACTTCTACCCCCATAAGGTATATGTGTACAAAATATGAACAAAATCGGGCCAACGGTATTTGAGTTATTGCCCGGACGGACGGACAGACGGACGGACGTACGTACGGACGGACGTACGTACGGACGGACGTACATACGGACGGACGGAGGCGTTCCCTATATCCCTCCGAACTTCGTTCGATGGGATAATGACTACTAAGCATGCAGTGCAGTGTTAAACAGTGTACCTGATGCGGCACTATTGCCAAACACAAACTTGCTCCCTGATGACGTACCACCAGGGGGAGTTACTGGTCCATCACCCTGCGACGACACTGCCAAGCAATAAGCAATTTTTAGCAATTATATTAAAATATTTCATAGTTTTCCTCCAAGTCTATATAGTGCTGGATATCCCTTATTTTCTAAAACTGCTTGGGAAAATAAAAAATGACTTCTGAGGGGCAAAAAATCTATCAACAGTTTTTATGATAATTACAATATACTCCAAGCAGCTTCTCCTTTTGATTCTGTACAGTTAAAGTCCAAATGATGATTTTCATTACATCTTGAGAAGCTAACATAATCTGTTTACAATAAATCTAACATTAAGATCTACTTACATTGGGGTTGGGATGCAAATCCAAAAGATGGCGCTGTGGATGACGTGGCAGTGGTGAAGTCAAAACCCTTGGTTTGTGATGTTGCTGGGGCTGACAAGGGAGGCTGGCCAAAACTAAATGGACCCGCTGGAATAATAATGGTAGATTAAACCAATCTGTGTTTTAATAAGACAAGAACATTGAGATGCTGCAAACCTCCAACCACACTGATGACAATATTGTACCTAAATATGACTATATTGCATATATTTCTGATGCATCACCTTTTGGTTCTGTGATCTCTGCATTGATATCCAGTTCATGTTGCAAGTAGACAAGGTCTGGGTCAGGTGCCCTAGCTAGAGACCAGGCCTCACCCTCAGTCTCATGGCAGTAATGTAACATAGCGTCCTTGTCCAGCTTCACCCATGTCCCATCAGCATTGGTCATCTGTATAAAATGGAAGATAAATATAAAACTTGAATTATCAAAGGTTCTGTTTTTTAGACAAGAATCTATTTTCATTATTTAAATCAACATGTAATTCAAATTTGAAAATTCAAATATTTATTGTATTTTTCATACAAAATAGATACATACTATCTGTTGTGATTCAATTTTATGATTTTTGAATGAATAAATTAACTGTATAAATAAACTTTCCCTGACCTCTTCTGTGACCATGACTTGATTTCCAAGTACCATCATGCCAATAGGTGTCGCTTTCAGGTTGGGCCGACAGCGAATATTATGGCCAGAGGAGCCACACTTCACTACATGGTAGTTTCCGGGTCCACCTGTAAAGTTTACGTATATTAAAAATCAATAGTCAAATTAGGCTGTTGAAGCGTAAAAAGCAGCTGGCTGGGTCAGATGAGTCATATTATAATGAATTCAGACTCCAAACACCAAATCTTTTTATAGATCCTATAGCAAATGTTAACCAAGATAACACATAATACTTGAACAAAATTTGAATTATGTCCAGGCTCTGTGGTGATTAGAGTGTTTCACCATACCATAACCTCAAATTTGTATTATTCATTTAGATACGTGAAATAAAGAAAACCAAATATTTTTACAACTGGCATACCCTTCCTGATTCTACTTTTATCTCTAATAATCTCAGGCAAGCGTCTTAGTATTGTCTCCTTGATTATTTCATCAAGTATAGATTTTGGTTCCTCCACAGGGACAAGTAGGGTCTTCCCCAGGTGTTGGTTGTATTGCAAGGCCCAGGCTTCATGGATATTACAGTGGCCATTTGTACACCATTTCTTTATGGACTCTGGGAGAAGTCGTAGCCACACACCATCATCATTGTGTAACTATTAAAAAATGATTGTTACAGTTTTTAAATTTGGGACATCTCATGTTCCTTATACAGGGATTAATTGTGAAAAAAACTGGTCAACACTTCATTCTTGGAAGAAGCAGGAAACATTTCATGCACCATTCCATATGATTTGAGAAAAGATCCAAATATAGCTATATAGATGATAGGATTATTTTTGGATTGGATAGAGCATTAAGATGATAAAACCAATCAGTAAAAGTAGAAAACGCCATAAAATCAATATTTTTTACAAAGTTATAACTACTCTTGACATAACACCGTTTTCCACATTTAGATTCAGAATGAAATCTGAAAACTTCAAGGAATCTCTGCACTATGGGACAACATTACCTACCTCATCAATGAAGCCAATGACGCCATTTGGTTTAATTATTCCCACTTGTTCAGACTGCAGAGATGGGTTAACACGGATCCTTAGTCCAGCACTATATTGGGCCACAAACTTTCTCATCTAAAAAAAATAACCAACATATTAATTGGAAGCACATTAATTAGAATTACAATTGTTCTCTGATGTTTAACATTGCTACTAACATTGACTTTTATATGGTATTATTTCATCCATCCTCCGATCACAGGGCTCCAAAATCCAGAATACTTCTTTCTTTTTACCCCCTGCGATAAGCAGTTAGCATTTCCCCGATTAAAAACTCGCAATTTGATTCACTGTCGCAACATTGCACAGTGTTCGCGCTAGCCATTTAAATTTCTGAGTCCCAGGGACGCAACACATTTGAAAAATGTGAGTCCTGTCTAATTTTTTTTGGGTCCCTCATATTTTGTTATTAAAGTGAAAGTAAAGTGGGCGATAATAGAGTGCTTCCGCTAAAACGGGATAAAAATGACATATATTGTAATTTTATGCATTCTCCCGATAAATATCTATCATTTGGTCCTTTCACACAATTCTTTACTTATGTTATATCAAAATTCTCTGAAATGAATGAAAGAAATATTCAAATTAAGAGTTGTTTTCACATTTTACCAACCAGCGATCTTCAAAGTCGTGTCAAGGTCGTGAACTTTTTGTTTCTTCTAACATTTCTCCTTACTCTGACGACTTTTAGATGAAAAACGAGCTATCATTAAATAATTATATTGATGTATAACATTAGATCGATATCTAACGGTTCCTAGTGTAAGTAATTAAGATTATCGTGAAAAACAAATCCCAATTCTCAATTTTGAAATTAATGTTTGCGTACAACAGATTATCCAGCTTCGGTATACTCCGGAATGACTCGGAGGGCACCATAGCCAATCAAATGCTGCGTTTCAGAGTAGAAACCCCGCGAATATACTGAGACACTTCGGTAGCCAATCACATTTGCCGACATAAACATTATTGAGATCAAGGAAGTAGACGATTTGAAAATTCTTCGGAAAATCATGTTTTATCACTTCTATGCTGCAGTAAAAGTTACCTGATGGTGGTGTAGAATCTTTGCGTCCCAGGGACGTAAGTTATTTCTGATTTTTCCGTCCGACCTCTTGAAATTTCCGTAAAAACGAGAAAAAACGGCGTCAACGCGAACACTGATTGCAACAGCAATAATGTATATGTCATCGGCGCATTATTAGATCACATGATTCAGTTAAATATCGGGGGCTTCCAAATTGATTATAGCAGGGGGAAAGAAGGAGGTACGGATTCTGGACAACTGCTTAGGAGGATGTATTTAATCCAAAACAAAATGTAATATTTCGAATTCTATACCTTGCTTGGTGTATATTCTGGTTTCTTGGCCTGCTCAGTGGGAGGGGCTACACCTTGAGGAGGCTCCTTAACATGCACCTTATAGATCTCACCTAAATATGAAACACAAGTGCAATAAGGGAATAAGACTAAATGCACACATTAACAAGTAAATGCAGCAAACTGCCCATAATAGGGCAATATGTGACTGATGTCACTGATGATGGTACCATATTCAAAGAATTCATTATCGACATTGTTATATGATTGTTATATGGGGTGTGAAATTTCAAAACCTGGTAATGGGACAATATGTGACTGATGTCACTGATGATGGTATCATATTCAAAGAATTCATTATCGACATTGTTAAATGATTGTTATATGGGGTGTGAAATTTCAAAACCTGGTTTACAATTGTGACTCACCACTGTCCATGCCATCTATGTTGACATGTATGTTGTAGTAGCCCACACTGCCAGGTGTCCAACTAGAGCTATATGTTCCATTCTCCATGGGTCTGACTAACATATTCTCACTGGGGCGTCTCACAGCAGGGGCAGCAAACCTGAGCTCTTCAAATGAGTAGTTCTCATATTGCTGAAAAATTATGTAACACATACAAAATTAAGTCACTATATCTAGTGTACACACATTACATCATTAGGATCAGGATAAAGACCCAGGTCATGTTTTGTAAGGAAAAAAAAAGCAAAGTAAAAATCGCCATGCTTTTAAAGTGTAAGACAAAATAGTTGGGGAATTTTTTGATTACTTTTGTTGAACTGACAATTGACATTTAAAACTGCTCCAATATTCTTATCGAATATAACACATCCACTTACCTTCATCATGCAAATTGAGTGGAAAGCCACTTTTCTGTCTTTGAGGGTCACCTGATAGGGGGCGCTTAGATCAGGGGCAGGGTGCCCACCAAAGGTTAGATTGTGGTCATCTGGTCGACTCATACGTCTAATCTTGCGCTGGTCATCATCTTGATCTATAGGGACAGCCTTCACTTCAACCTGTTGATAAGGATCATAATATTGGTTAACCATCAAATTATTTTAAAATTCCAGAAATCTACATGAATGTGCCAAAGATTGATAAAAGAAACAAATTTGTTTTTTGCCTGCTGAGGCATAAAATCCACAATATGTGTTTTGCCTAGAGAGGAAGGTATGGTTGTAGGTGTTCAACATGTTTAGCTGTGGGTTAAGTTTTCAGGTTTTTCATCTACATAAGTATTTAGCTTTAGAGTCTTATACATTGGCCACATAAATCTATATGCACAATTTACAATGATTACAGTACATTTTTCATTAACCATTGATAGTATTTGAAGCACAACATAATACAACATTGATTTTATTCATGGGAGTTTAAAAAATGCCTATTCTAAACTAAAACTTACCCTCAGATTTGGCACATGTACCAGTTCCCCATATTGATCTTTGGTTTGTACTGTAATCACTGCAGGCCACCCACATTTCAACTCATCCTTATTGTAGAGAATGTTACATTGCTTTGGGTCTAAGTAGGAGTCTGGCTGCAACCATCTGTAAAATAAGCATTCTTATGTAGAAGTATATGTATATAGTTCTGATGGTTTATGAGGGGTTGGGTCTGTATAATATTGCTCTTCGGGTTCTTTTGCCATTAATTGAGATTTTTTTTCTGATGTTGCTGTTGTTTTTTGCCGCTAATTTTACATATACAGTTGCTAGATAGATTATCTGCAACATAAGAAAATAAATCGAGAGCAAAACATTATCTTATGCCTGTCTGCCTTTAGCTAGTTATCATTATAGAATCCTTTCCAAATCAAAGTACATGTACTCTCAAACAGTATAGAGGTCAATGCGGTAAGCACTTGTTACACATGTCAAACACCGACACCGAATTTCTGTCACAAAACTGGAGGTGGCATAGAATAGGATAGATAAGAGCTCATACCCTGCCAGTCTTCCACCACTGGTGCCTGGGGCACATGCTACAAAGTCCTTGAGGAAAGATCTTTCATTGGATTGCCAGCTAAATGGTAGGCTTCCTTCTAAGGCTTGGCTGATTGTAGGAGGATGGGAGAGAGCAAACCCTTTACTGAGGATGTGTGAGTGGGCTTGGAACACCTAAATAATATAAAATGATTAAAAAAACAATTCAATACAATTCAATACATACAATTCAAATAACAATATGATATACATACAATACAAATAACAATATGATATACGTACATACAATACAAATAGGCACTATTAGTCTGCGTCATTGAGACTGTGTAAAATCTCTCTCTACTCTTTGCAACTAGAATTAATTATATCATTAAGTATATGGAAATGTCATGAATATTATTCCAAATTGACAAAATTAAATTTTCTAACAGAGAATAGTCATCCCAAATCTCCATTGAATATTATATCCCATAATATAATTATCATCCCATTCCATCCCATAATAACAGTGTTTTCTACCTCTTGAGCCCCTTCCTCTATGATATCCAAGTCTTCATCCATTTCATCAACTGAAGCAGGGGGAAGTATGATGTCCTTCCTAATCAGTGCACTGGCACACATGCCTCCTAGATACGATACTTCCTTTTCCAGTTGGCTTAATGTCTAAAATTATTCAAGAATTCAGCTACATAAATAATACAAGTGTAGGCCTAAGGTATATTTTTTGAAAAATATAAAGGAACCTACATCTTCTTCATTACTTCTCAAGTTAGTTTAAATCATGAGTTACTCAATCATAACTCAGAAACTGTAACATAGATACTCGGTGCAGGAGGCAGGAAAATACATTAGTAGCACACAGGTACACAACTTAACACTTATCTTGACTCATCAAATGTGTAAAAAAATTAATCTGTGCCAGTACTAATTATACTTCATCTGTATTATCATTAAAATTGACTATCATCGAGGCAGGTATTAAGTAAATATTATGAACACATTGATAAAGAAGTACATTTGAAAAGCTTTTGTTTCTTTAAAAATATTATTTCTGCATTACTAACTCAAACTCAAGTATTATTAACCAATTGTATTTATTTAAACCAAACATTGCAAAGTAAGAAATTTGGAAATCAGGCTGTTTGCCCGACTATGACTAATTAGAATTCCTACCAAAAATCTTTACATGGAAGTGTCTCAAACTATCATAATTTGACTAAACTTATTCAAGTTAATGAAAACAAAGAATGAAATCCTGTCGGACAAATCCAAGAATTAACACTGCTAAAAAAGGTTATAAGCCACCTAAAGTAAAAAATAGTACCGTGGGTACTAAGCTCACGTGGTGTTACTCAAAAGTGAATAATGGCTAAAATGGCAGAAAAAAAAAAACAAGGCACAGGGTGAACAATATCGCACCTAAAACATAGCAGAGTGGGCTTGATGACCCAGAAAGCAAGATGCACTGCGTGAAAAATGGAATTTCTAGACTAAGCACGTCTACAAACTAAGTCTAAGCACGCCGGGTGCTTAGGCGTAACTAGTTTTGACACGTCTAGGTACACGATGAAACCAACTCTAGACATCTCTAGGCACGTCTAATCACACGCAGTGCAAAGTCGTGCTTAGAGTGTGACAAAAAGTCTTGGCACGCCTCGAGACTAATGATTGAAATCTAGAATAAAGTAATTATCGAATCAGGTGAATGTATATTGTTATAAGCAATTATGATCAACATTCATAATTTAGACATATTTTCACTGAAATATACTAATTTCTTTTTATCTTTTATCTATTCTATTTATTATTTTGTATAACGAACTGTTCACGTATACCATGACGTTTTACATATATGATTGAATAATAAATCACGTACTGTTTAAAGCTTGTAAAATACCAAACAAGCTGTACTGATAATTAGTAACAACTATCAAGTTGTTACATCAAACCCCGGGTATCAAGCAAGATACTAGGATAGTATTATTATTGTGCGTCTGACCAAATGGATGAAAAAACTATGTGTTCATCTATTGTGTCTGCAATGTATCATAGGGCAGGCGCGAAGCCAGCTTTCATTCAGGATTCGGGGGGGGCTGCGATCGCCAAAAACTTCTCGATTTTCAGTCACGGGGATGCGATTGTTGCATAAACAAGCCATAAAAATATGATTTATTTTAAATTTTACAAAAATTTCTTCAAAATTGAGCTTTTTCTTTCTCATGGTTTTATCTTTATTGCACCCCCCCCCCTTGCTTCTTTCTATGGACGCAATTAACATATTCATTTAAGTTGCCTCTCCCGGTAGATACGTAGAGTTTCTAGACCATCCTACAGGTACGTCTAGAAATTGCAAGAAATTCCACATTTGATGCAGTGATCATACTTGCGAATCATATTGAACAGGAAATAATTGTTTGGACGGTGGTCGATATTACATACACCCCCCTCCATAAAATTAATAACAGGATCCCCTTTTCGGCCACCTATCTAATCAAAGCCCGATTATGATTGGCGATTTAGATAAATTCGTCAAATATCACAAATAACTGAACTACTAGATCTAGCATTGCAATTGAGGAAATAATTAGATTTAAATATTGATATGCTTCGAAATGAAAACACACGATTGCCAATCTAATGGAAGGGGTACGTAATGAAGACGCGATATTGTGTTTACCACCCATCGTCCATCGCTCGAAAAGAAAATCGCATTGTCCTGACCAATCCCTCTCACAAAAATCGCATTCACCTCAAAACTCGCTAACAAAGATTGAATTCATCTCCCATTTCAAAATTAAGAGATTTTGAAACGAAAGGAGTATGAAGCTCTGTTTGAGCCTATTAAACACAGGCGAATGGTAATTTCATCATCATGCTCTGACACAGTTAAAGTCATAGACATCTGAGCAACAAGCGATTTTGTTTGGTCGCTGTTATATTGTTTCGTTGATTTTTTTTGATGCTGGTGTGTTTATATTATTCAATTATTAATAATATTATTTCAAAAGCGTTCAGCTCTTCACAAATTGTGAGCACTTTTCAAATACACCATTAACCACTCCAATGATCGGGATACCATCATGTATTTCACCAGTCCATGTTATGTCGATGCACCATTCCCAGAAGAACTCAAGTTGATCGAATCTCAAAATGTACAATCATGTCAGCTTTCAGTCGGGGGGGGGGGGGGGGGGTGATGCCCAAACGAATTTCAGTTATCAGTCAGGGGGGTACCATTGTGGCTAAAACAGACCACTAAATATATTTTGAATTTTACAAATATTGATGCAACTTCTTTCAAAACAGAGTCCTTACTTCCAGCGGCATTTTGGTCCCCAGGTGTAAGAAGGCCTTCTAACAGCTGGGGACCAAAACGCTGCGAGAATGAGGGACTCTTTACAATAAAGTAATGCACCGACAGAAAGGCAATTTCGTTTTGCTTTAATGGTATAAGTTTGAAGAAAAACGGTGCAGTATGAGACTCGCAATCCTTGATTTTCGAGCATCTGGAAGGCCAAAAATTCAAATTAACGGTCGAAGTTAGGACCGATTGATTAAAGCTTAACGAAGGCTGTTTTGAAATCTTTCGTTACAGGGCTATACTACATGGCGTGTATACGTTATGTTATGCCAACAGTTACATGTTATACGACTTGAAAGTTCATAATTATGGTCTTTGCGTTATCTTTTTATTCAGGCCCGTAGCCAGGATTTTCCAAGGGGGGGTTCATTTTTCAAAAATTTCCAGGGGGGGTTCACATTTGACAATTTTGGCCCAAATATGGCTAAAATCACTTGAGAAGTGCTCAAAATGGTGAAAAACTGCATGATTTTGAAAGAACTTTTGGCCAGGGGGGGGGGTTCGCCCAAACCCTGCGAACCCCCCCTGTCTACGGGCCTGAGATATTTATAATAATTAGTAATGTAGCTCTCTCTGTTGGCGGTGATGATCTACTTCTTTCCAAGTATCTATTGTTTTGATTTCTTATTACTTATTAATGTCAGGTTTGACAAGGGGGTGGTTTGCTTTTTAATCCAAAATCCAAGAGGTCACATTTTGGCCCCAAATCACTTAAAAATCACTGAGAAAAACGCCATGATTTTGTACAAACGTTTGGTCGCTCACATCCTCTTAACCCCTCCCCCTCCGGGCTAAGAGATTGCACATGTTTATTTCAGCTTGATTGTAGATAGAATGTTGCTTGTCTTGTTTTTATTAGTTAACCTTAGCTTACTTTTTGTGCTTCTTTATTCAATTACGCTTCCAGTTTCAACCGTTTTACTGCATTGCTCGGGGCATTGCTATAAGAGGCATTTTATAAAAGGCATATTGATCGATGTACACCTGTTCTGTAGTCAGTTGCTTTCCTAAGTTTTTGCTTTTTCATATTTTGAATGAATGTGAATGACTTATGAGGGGGGGGTAATTCAAACAAGTCAAAGCTTTAAAAATGCTGTCGTCGTCATAATCCTTTCCAGTCCACCAATACCACCAACGCACAGTATTAACACTCGACATCAATGAGAAATGGCAAATTGAGAGAATTATACAGTCAACCGTATTAATGGGATATTTTATTCTTTACTTCCTTATTGTGTTGTACGTGCCACTTTCAGGTCTGAGTGTGTTTTAACAATTTTCAAAAAGCGGGGACTAACATCGTAAAAACATTTGCGCTAAAGAATTTCAAGACTGAGCCAAAAAGACAGGTTTGCAGATCAGATACTCCCTACCCATTACGATATTTAATTCCACCCCTAGTTATTTGCTTCGGAACCACCTTGGGATGTCCCCTTGTCAATCTCTCCCTTCCAGATTCGCAAATTATTCTAGACCTTGCTGTACATAATACTACGTATTCCATACCTGATGAGGTTTCAGAGACATCAACAGGGAATATATTTCAGATCCGGGTAAATATTTCTCGTATGTCCCGCTCCAGCAAGGATCCGGGACATATCAATCGTATGACCCGCATTATATCCCTTGGGATAAACAATATATCTTCCCTTGGTCTCTTTGGGCCCGCGGGAAGATATATTGTATATCCCTCAGGATGTTCCCTATATCCAAAACATTCCAGTGTATGTATTAACTTTATCATTTGAGAGGAGCTAAGCTACACGTTTTAGAGACAAAGTGCACGTGACTTTGTAAAATTATGACCCCTCCACATTGGTTCCTCCAGGGCCCCTAATAATTCAATATCCCTTAAACCCCGGGCCTTAAACATTTATCACAGAGTCCTAACTACGACCGTTAGTTTGAATTTCAAACCTACCATGTGTTTAAAAATCAAGGATTATGAGTCTCATAATGCACCGTTTTTGTTCCATTAAAAGCAAAACAAAAATGCCTCTCTGTCGGTGCATTGCTGTCGGGCCGGTCCAGTGTAGACACTAAGGGGCTGAAACCTGCTGGTCAAAATGATATTACGGACCAGTTGCAATGTTATTTTCCTATACCTAGTGAAAAAATCAACTGGTCCGTATCAAAAGTAACCAGATAATGACCAGTGGACCGGCTGTTAATGACAACACTAGGCCGGTCCCAAGCTGTGTGAAGCGCCTCTCACTGACAGCTGGGGATCCAAACGCCGCTAAAAGGAGGGACTCTCAGTCTGTATAACAGTATAATCTAACCATCAGAAAAATTTGTTTTC